ATATGTGTACAGGTCACACTAAGCCAGTTTGCAATTACCCAGATTTATGAAATACACTAATTTGTAAGCCATGATCTAGAAGCCAGTGGGCTGGATTCACATAACATCGAAAACCAGAAACAAACAAACTACTTTATAAAGGTAAAGGTAAAGGTTCCCCTCGCACATATGTGCTAGCTGTTCCCGACTCTAGAGGGTGGTGCTCATCTCCGTTTCAAAGCCAAAGAGCCAGCGTTGTCCGAAGACGTCTCCGTGGTCATGTGGCCGGCATGACTAAATGCCAAAGGTGCACAGAACACTGTTACCTTCCCACCAAAGGTGGTCCCTATTTTTCTACTTGCATTTTTTACGTGCTTTCGAACTGCTAGGTATGTTTATACCTCAACATAAACCCAACTGGAACATTCTTTTCGCCATTTTTTCCTGCAACAACCCTGCAAATAGTTGGGCTGAGATACAGTCTCTCCTGGCATAAAGCCACTTATTAAGCTTCCATGGCTAAAAATGCATTTGTGTTTGGTCTCTGGAGTCTTTTATCTTCAAGCTCATAAACCCTGTAACACAGGAATGGTTTCTAGACAGCCCCACTGACAATAATCCAAGCAACACTATCATGTCCATGTTCTGGCAAATATTAGCTGAACTTCCTGGAGTTCTTGGTTTACAAGATTGACAATCAATGATGAAATGCAGCTTAGGACAAATTATCCATGGTCTGTTATTGTACTTAATTTGGGTATAATAAAAACAGATTATTGAGCCCACAATCTAAAGCACAAAGTAATCTACTCTGGAGATCTGACTAGTTTTCTGATGTAAACCTCTACTTCCTTTGCAACTTTGGGTTATAGCCATCTTGATTTTTATGAGACCCATTGAATACACCCCTGCTCTGTTATCACGGGGTGTGTGTGTGTAATGTGCCTGCTTATATATGTACATATTGTGGCTCATTGTGCAGTCAGATGAGTACATTTAAAAGGGGGGGGAGGATTACTTTTCACTTGTCCTTGACCGGATTGGCAACAGTCTCTGAAGATTAACTGTTTAAAGCAGGGGGAGGCAATGTATGGTTCCCCAGACACCACAGCTGGACTGTGGGGTCCATCATTTGTCACCACTATCAGAAAGGAAGCTATAACTCAAAAACAGAATTGGCCATCTTTGGAAGAAGTAATATGGCTAAAATATGTTCCCAAGCAAAAATAATTATATTGCTAATACTGAATTCGAGGCATCATGGATATGATTGATCTGAAGATTTTAACTATGTGGCCTCCGTTTTCCATGTCATCGTTAGACAAGATGCTCTCTTTCTCCCCACCCCCACTTCTTTAAATAATTACTTTATTGCTTGTTTCAGGCACTCAAATTATTTCAGCTGCCTCGTGTATTGAATAGCAAGAGAGAGCATGGTATAAAATGGAAAGTGCCTGACATTTTTCTCTCAAGATGAAAATGTACCTTCAGCCACTTTTTACATTCAGCATCAAAAGTGGTTTACAAAATGAATCACCCATATAGATCTGACACGGGGTGAAATGCTACTGGTTCAGGCCATTTCACCTAAACCAGTAGTAAAAAATGCTACTGGTTCACCAACCCAGTAGTAAAACAATGTAAAAAAAAAGGTCCAATGATTGTCAGAACTTTTTTTTTCTTTTTAAGCATTTTTTACTACCGGTTCTTCAAAACCAGTAGTTAAAAATGCTTTAAAAAGTAAAAAAAAAAGTTCCGAAGATTGCACGTCACTCAGCTGATCGTCAGAACTTTTTTTTTTACTTTTTAAGCATTTTTTTTACTACTGGTTCGGGCGAATAGATAGAAAAAAATGCTTTAAAAAGTAAAAAAAAAGGTTCACAAGATCACAGCTGTGCTGTGCGATCGTTGGAACTTTTTTTTACTTTTTAAAGCATTTTTTTACTACCAGTTCAGGAGAATAGGTAGTAAAAAATGCTTTAAATTTTTTCTTAAAAAAAGTTCCAATGATCGTGTGCCGCTCAGCTGATCGTCGGAACTTTTTTTTTTTTTACTTTTTAAGCATTTTTTTACTATTGATTTGGCAAATAGGTAGTAAAAATGCTTTAAAAAAGTAAAAAATAAAAAAGGGCTTGGACGATCGCGCGGCACAGCTGTGATCGTTGGAACCTCTTTTTTTATTTTTTTAAAGCATTTTTTATTACCTGTTCACCCGAACCGGTAGTAAAAAATGCTTTAAAAAAGTTTTTTAAAAGGTTCCTAAGATCGCGTGCCACAGCTGATTCCCACCACCACCACCACCACCACCCCGGCTGTCCTACTTACCTTCGCAAGCCTCCTTTTGGCACATACTGCACATGCGCATGCAGCATGCATTTGGTGCAAACTGCATGCATGCGCGCAGTGCGTGCTTGGCATGTGGCGCGTATGCGCAGCCAGCAAACCAGTAGCAAACCGGTTCAGATTTCACCACTGATCTGACATCAACAGCAAGAGCAGCAGCATTTCCCCGCCTTCCATTTTTGTAATTTGTTATTTATAAAAGACATAGAAACTTCCATGATGTTGTCACTGCAAAATGCTTTCCTAAGCAGGTAGAAGAATGCTGCATTCCTAATAAAATGTATGACTCAGATATAGTTGGGCCTAAAAATATATTCGAAAGATGTTCCTTCTTATTTTCATGTAAACTCCCTTGGTGTTACTACAAACCCAGCTTGTAGTCATGTGAGGATTGCCTGTATTTAGAAAATTCAGTTAAATGAAGACAAAATGTTTGCAGGAAAATCTACCCAAAGACAAAATTTGCAAATGAAGAAGCAACCCCAAATAATACTCTATACAAGTTTCTTGGAGGCATTGAAACCTCAGTCACTGCAGGCTTCAGGCCTGGAGGAATCATACATTCCTTTTTAAGACAATGATCAGAATTCATATGGCGCCTCTGCTCAACCTAACCAACAGGATTGTTGTAAATCTAAAAATAGGGGGGAAAGGAGAGGAAGTGAGCCAGGTAAAGGTAAAGGTTCTCCTCGCACATATGTGCTAGTTGTTCCCGGCTCTAGGGGGCAGTGCTCATCTCTGTTTCAAAGCCGAAGAGCCAGCACTTTCTGAAGACGTCTCCATGGTCATGTGGCCAGGATGACTAAACGCCAAAGGCACACGGAATACTGTTACCTTCCCACCACAGGTCGTCTCTATTTTTCTATTTGAATTTTTTATGTGCTTTCGAACTGCTAGGTTGGTAGAAGCTGGGACAAGTAACGGAAGCGCACCCGATTATGCGGCACCGCTGAACTGCAACCTTTCAATCGACAAACTCAGCGTCCTAACCACTGAGCCACAGATAGATAGATAGATAGATAGATAGATAGATAGATAGATAGATAGTTAGATAGATAGATAGATAGATAGATAGATAGATAGATAGATAGATAGTACTATCAAGTGTGTCTGTATGACATTCCGTTTATGTGAAGCAACAACTCAGGCAATATGGGGGCAATACCTCCATTGTATTGTACCATGTAGTGGATGATTTTTCATTAAAAACTAATCTGTAGAAACTGTGTAATATCTGTTGATGCTACTGATGCTATGATGCTGTTATCAATCTGATTTACATATTGACAGTTTTATTCTAAACCAGGGATGTCCAACTGTATCAACTTTAGGACTTATGGACTTCAACTTCCAGAATTCCCCAGCCACAAGTCTTAAAGTTGCCAAGATTGGACTCCCCTGCTCTAAATCTGAGAGCCAACAGCAAAAGGATAATCATTACCATTATGCATGAAGAAAGCCAAATCCATTTGAGATTTGGGACTTCAGATTTAATGCTAGTAGAAACACAAAATAATTTATAAAACTCCAACTGTTTCAAAAATATTTTAATTACATATACTAACGTCTGTGCTCTTAAAAAAGGACTCACATAGATACATTTTACAATTTCCTTTTTTTCCCAAGTTAATACATAAAACTTCATAATATGCAAACAACTTTAGTGGTTTCTTCATATGTTCTCAGAGCATGAGAAATTCAAAATTATATTGCACTGGTAAACCTGGAGCACTGAATTGCCCAAATTGCACCACTGGAAGAAAAACGTAGCATGAAGAATGCTTGAAAGTTATACCTGCTATCCTGAGTACAGAAAAACACTCATTTTTCTTAAGCTTAAAATTAAGGAAATGTTCCATAGAGAATTATGTTGTTTGTAATAGTTGTTACTGATGCCCAAAAGATAAATCAAACGAAAACAAGCCAGGGATAGGGGAATTGTCCTCCTGAAGCTATTTCAACAGCCCTAGAAATACAGCCAATAGTGAAAGATGCTACCATCAACATCATCTGGAGTACCAATAGGTCCTCACCCTTGAAGTAAGCTATGAAAACTCTGGGCTTAAAAGAATGCCAAAGTTTTTGTAGATATAAATATATAGTTAGTATATATTAGTAGCGCAAAATAGATTTAATATTTCAGAGAAAGGCTAAAGCCTACTTCAGCGATGGCTTTTTGCCATTGTGTGCCAAAAGCGGTGGGAGTGCGGGGGGGGGGTCATGCATACGGGTACCCACATCCATAATTTTATGCGCGCATGACCTCCCACGCTCCCCACGCTTTTGGCATGTGATGCACAGTGGGCCCATTTTTTTGCCCTCCACAGGCTCCAGAGGCTTTCTGGAAGTCTAGAGAGGGCGAAAATAGCCTTCCCCACCCCTCTGGAGGCCGGAAACGGTCTGTTTGCTGACTTACAGTAGGACCGGAAGGCCAGTTTTTTGCTCTCCTCCTTTGCTCCTAGAAAGGCTCTGGAACCTGGGGAGAGCAAAAAACAGGCCTTCTGGGCTCACCGGAAGCAGGGAAATAGGCTGTTTCTGGCCTCCAGAGGGCCTGGGGCGGGGTGGGGAAGGCTGTTTTTGCCCTCCCCAGGCTCCAGAGCCTTTCTAGGAGCCTGGGGAGGGCAAAAAACAGCCTTCCCCATCCCCGCCCCAGGCCCTCTGGAGGCCAGAAACAGCCTATTTCCCTGCTTCCGGTGGGCCCAGAGGGCCCGAAAATCAGCTGGCCGGCACGCACACGCGCACTGGAGCTGAGCTCACATGCCCACCAATATGGCTCCGCGTGCCATAGGTTCGCCATCACGGGCCTAGTTGCTCTTCCTTAACTTCCTTTGTGTAAAAGAATTTTAAAGGATGGGTAATATTCAAAATGCAATCGATCCGTAATATAGTAAAGAAAGGATTTTCTTTTGAAAATAGGAGCTCTATCGACAAAAGAAAATATATCCAAAGGAATGCACATCAGAAATGCAGATCATAGCAAGTGAAATGGCTATTGATCAATAATAACTGTTAATGTAATGTTTTTATTTTTATAGTGCATAAATATTTTCCTAGATGGTCACTCAGAGATGCAAGAGTCTTTCAGCTTCCATATTTTGTGTGACATGGAACACATTGTCTTTCTTCGTTAATATTGACTTATCTTATTATTAATTAATTCTTAATTAAGGCAAGTAGGGAATAACTAAATCTTTTTTAAAAAAATGTCTAGCAGTAGCTGCTATATTTGTTCTCCATTTAACATTTCTCAGAAGAAACAAAATCCATCTGGATACATTGGCACATTCTCCGCAAATCCAAAATGACCTTTGCGATTTAAAGGAGAAAATTATTTGGGAGAAAGAAATTCTTAGTGATAAATACAGCTGTCTCTTAACTATCCCCTCCTCTTTTATTTAGGTCAAAAATACAAAACTGATCTGTGTTTGTATGACATAATAAACTAAAAACTAGTTTTTAGTTTATTATAGCCTAATAGGGATATAAAAAATCTACCACTGCAAAATGTAACATTCAGCACTTTTCCAGAACGGGTTTGTGGTGCTCTGCATAAAAAAAGGACAGGATTGGGTTTGGAACATCAAACTGATTCCAGTTCAGAGGATTAACTTTTGGAAAATCACTGGAGCATCCCTAAATCAGCATGGCCCAGAAAAGAAACATTCAATTTCTTGAAGACTAAGAGTTTTGCCTTAGACTAGAGCAGCGTTTCTCAACCTTGGTAGCTTGAAGATGGGTGGACTTCAACTCCCAGAATCCCCCAGCCAGCAGCGCTGGCTGGGAGATTCTGGGAATTGAAGTCCACCCATCTTCAAGCTTCCAAGGTTGAGAAACACTGGAGTAGCGTATGCCACAGATTTCATTTTGAACTATTTCAAGCATAAAACTTCACAAAGGTCCCCATAATGAGCACTCAAAAAATTGTTTTGAGGCTTCTGGCAACTGAGCTGTTTTGGGCTCAACGTTTGAGCTGTTTTGAGCTCAACATTTCTTGGAATGTACAAAACCGGTGGTTTTGCAGTCTATGAGAGTTCATGCCAAAAACATCTCACTGCAAAATCTCTTGCACAATTTTAAAGCAAACTGTTATGTGAACCAGCCTACCTGATGAATTAATGGCTCAGTATGTTGTATGGACCCAGAAAACCAGGTTAAGTAAAATATGACCTTTATATATGTCAGTGTTTTTCAACGTCACCAACTTTAAGATATGTGGACTTCAGCTAGCAAATAATTCCCTCAACACTATCAAACTATTCACTAAGTCTGCATTACTATTACTATTAATCTTCTCATCATTCCTATCACCCATCTCCTCCCACTTATGACTGTATGACTATAACTTTGTTGCTTGTATCCTTACGATTTATATTGTTTCCTAGTATGATTTGATTGCTTATTTGTACCCTATGACTCTCTTTAAGTATTGTACCTTATGATTCTTGATGAATGTATCTTTTCTTTTTATGTACACTGAAAGCATAGCCACCAAGACAAATTCCTTGTGTGTCCAATCACACTTGGCCAATAAAGAATTCTATTCTATTCTATTCTTCTCAGGCATTTCTACTTATCTTAAAGTTCCTGAGGTTGAGAAACAGTGCATATATTATATGAACAGAACTACGTTGCCTAAGGAAGATAATTAATAGTTCAGTGTATTTTTAATTAACCAAATATTATGAGATGACCATAGTTATTTAATCAAATTCTTCATGGTGTCAAAGAATTTCCCTTTCAACACTGATGAAAAAATTCAGAAGTTAGACAGAAAGTAGAAGAATAATTCTATTTAGCATCCCTGAATGAATGAAATAATTTAATAACAGAATTGAAACTCTATAATTCACTAAATTGGGTCACTAGATGGATCATCTTTTCAGATCAAAGGAAATCTCAGGGAGTCACACAGATAAGAGATTTACATAACACCTGATGGAATCATAAGATAGCCAATACAAATGTATTTGCTATTGATATGATTAAAAGGACTAAGGGACTTAATTTCTATAATTTTGCTTTTACTGACATGAAACAATGTTGCATTTTTATTAGGTGCCCACATTTTATGGCCAATGAGTGCATTTTGAATAATGTCTATGTGTCAGAGATGTTCTCGCAAATGGGTTGGGGAGTACTCACAAAACGTTTGCCACAATACATGTGGACAGTTACAAAACTCACCTAAGAACCCAAGTATGCGACATAGACCTAGTCTCTACAATAAAAAGAAAGCCAATTATTTAAACTCTTTTCCTCTCCAGTACTTAATTCACCAATGACACACAGATTAGGCTTCACCAAAAAAAGGAAAACAAGGCAAAGTTGAGCCTCAAAAAGAAACAGGGGTTGTAACCCATTCTCTTCCCACAATGGTGTTAGTCTAGATCAGGGCTGTCAAATTCGCAGCCCGCAGACTGGATGCATCATGCACTGGCCACACCCACGCCTGGTTTAGCGAAGGGGAAAAAATCCTGATACGTCACATGATGCTGCCGTGATGATGTGAGTTTGACATCCCTGGTCTACGTTGCCTCAAAACTACAAGAGCTGATCCTGGTAAGGAAGGGGATTAGAGGAGCAGGGAGACAAAACATTAAACACCTTAACGCCATGAATTCAAGTCCCCAAAGGCTGCTAGATAACATACAGCCAACCAGGGTGGATAAAAATCGATGATTTTTTTTAATATATAAAAAAATCAGATTTTTAAATTTTAAATCAGATTTATTTTTATCAAATTTATTTTAATAAAATGCTTTTGGAGTAAAAATCTGTCTAGATTTTTTATCTAAATAGATAGTTTTCTATTTAAGATACATTAATAATTTAGTTTATTCAGCATGAAATGGAGCTTAAGTTATGTAGCCTGAGGCTGTATATTCTGCAATATTGGGGCTGTCAGTGAGTCAACAGCAGGTCAGAGAAAGAGCCACTGCGGGACAGAGATGACAGCTGCTCTTTAAAAATTATGATTTAAATTGAGTTGATTTAAATCAAGCCTTTTTATTAGTGATTTAAATCATGATTTAAATCATGATTTAAATCGACTTGATTTAAATCAAATCCACCCTGCAGTCAACCAAGGGCTGAAATGATATTCACATGAAGTTACTATGAAGATTTGGACAGATATTAAAACTGGGATTGTATTCTTCTTCTTTCTAAAATAGCTTGCCGCATTGAAACATGTAACAACTTTTTATATGAATCCCTAACTTTAAGTTTTAAACTTGTATCCTGCATTTGAAACGTTTAGACATTTACTAAAACACTTTTACAAACAATAAGGCACTGCCCTGGCATATCACACAACAAATACTAAAAAAGGAAGTTTGCCTCTGTAGAAGGTTTGGATTTTGTACTGTCTGTAGCGCTATCACCAGACCAGCAGACTTGATTATTTATCTTCCACCACATTTACTATAAAGTGCAGTATCACTGATCCCTTTCCCTTTCTTAAAAGCATAATGCTCTATTCCATAAATCAACTTAAAAGGAAGTCAAATTAGGATTTAAAAAATATGTTTGAAGTGAACCCAAGTGCCCTTTAAAGACCGTCTATTGTAGGCAACGTTCAAAAATAAAATCAAGATTTTAGGACTCTTTCTAGAAAGAAATAAGAGTTATCTTCTCTTTAGCTCTAAAACCTGCATGCAGGCATGATGAGGCTGGATGGCCACTTCCAGCTAGATGTCATCTATATAGATGCATATGTGGATGCTGGTGAAGTCGTGCAATCAGTTCTTCCTCTGTTGGTTCTTCTAAAACATCCCTGCAAGAACAAGCCACAATCACTGAAAAATAGCAGAGCCAGTGTCTTAGTACAGACATTGTAGATATTTTTACACGCCAGAAATAACTTCCCTAGACATTTTAACATTAAAAGCCTCTATAGCAGAGGTGGGTTTCAGCAGGTTCTGACCAGTTCTGGAGAACCGGTAGTGGAAATTTTGAGTAGTTCGGAGAACCGGTAGTAAAAATTCTGACTGGCCCCGCCCCCATCTATTCTCTGCCTTCCAAGTCTCAGCTGATGGGGAGGAAATGGAGATTTTGCAATATCCTTCCCCTGGATTGGGGAGGGAATGGAGATTTTACAGTATCCTTACCCTGGAGTATGGTGGGAATGGAGATTTTACAGTATCCTTCCTCTGCCACATCCACCAAGCCACGCCCACAGAACTGGTAGTAAAAAAATTTGAAACCCACCACTGCTCTATAGACCATCATTCATTACTCAATTCCCAATAGATAACTTCATATGCAAAGTTATATTTTTGCTTTATTTTGCAACCTTGCTAGAGTATTGTATATAGGTAGTCCTCGACTTACAGCAGTTCATTTAGTGATCATTCGAAATTACAACGGTAGTGAAAAAAGTGACCCGACCATTTTTCACACTTACGACCGTTACAGCATCCTCACGATCACATGATTCCCTTTTGCGACCTTCTGAAAGCAGTCAATGGGGAAGCCAGATTCACTTAACAACGATGTGACTAACTTAACAACTGCAGTGATTCATTTAACAAATGAATGGCACGAAAGGTCATAAAATGGGGCAAAACACACTTAACAAATGTCTCATTTATCAACAGAAATTTTGGGTTCAATTGTGGGCATAAGTTGAGAACTACCTCTAATCAGTTAAGAAAAATAGGGCAACATGCTCTAAATTCTGGCACTCTCTACATGGAGCCCCTGCTGCTGTTCCTCCTTGGAGTGTTTTAGTCCTGGCAGTAAAAAAAACACACCTGTTAATGTACATTTGTCCTACTTTAGTCCTCAGTAAGTTTCTTTTCTCAATTAAAAATATAAAGCGGCTAAATTGCTATGCTTGTACCTGAAGAGGAGTTCCACTGTCATTTGATATTCAACTTCTGAGAGAGACGGCCTATGGCAGCGACGATCCCATTTATGAATAAAATTCTGCATTTGAAGAAGAGGAAACCAACACCATTTTATGAGAGAGAGAAGCCTCCTACTCAATACATTTACAATATTTAAAAAAAAAAAAAAACCCAAGGCATGGAACCAATTCATGTGATTAGCATATAATCAGAGACGGCTATTTGTGGAAGTCACAGCAACAAAAAATATAATTGTGTTGAAATTTGGGTTTTGAAAGAGAGAGGAGTCCATTCTGTAAGATTTAAGGGAAGCTGCTGCACCGATTTCTACGGATGGCGTACTTCCTTTCTTTATTAACAATTCAAAGAAATTACCTTACAAGTCAACTCGAAGTAGCCCAACATAAGGTGCTCAAGATAAGTGTCATCAATAATAATATGTAACACTTCTGAGACCTACTATTAAAGTCGTGTGTGTTTGTATGTGTGTGTATGTGTGAGTGAGAGAAAGGGACTTCCATGAAAAGTCAGTGACTTTCAACTCTAGTAACCCAATTTAAAAATAATTTTTCCAGGTAACTTAGTACTGTATATGCTGTCCATCCTACTGTGACATCAGGAGATTTGCCAGTCCAAGTGAAACCACCCATAAATGCAATTTGCTACTCCAAGTGAAACCACCCGTAAATGCTCATGTGTTCTTCAGGCTTTGGATGACCAGTCAAGCTTTACCTCTAAAAGCAAGGCTATAAAAAGATTGACCCAGATGACAGAGGAAGTCAGCCACCAGGTGACAAAGTACAATTTTGACCAGCTGTAAAAGAAAAGAAAAAAAAAAGAAAAAGGATAAAATCAAGTCATGCCTATTATTACAATTCCAGTCTTAAAATTCCCTGCACTTTGTGACCTGTAGCACACCACACATTTCCTGTCTGGTATTCCTTCCAGTTCCTTTTACAAATTACAAAGTTGCATATCCTTGTATTCTCATAGATGAATTATTCCTGCCACTTACAACTTTCTTGTGACCTTTTAGCATTTTTTTTCTGGTTCTAGAATTTTCTTGTCGGTTTTTCTTTTTTTGCCCTAGATACCTCCCCAGGATACAATCTAAATCCACTCTACTGCTCGTCCCAAAGATGCTTTTTCCAAAAGCCAATTGGACTTTCTTGGGGGGTTTTTTCCTTTGAAAATAATTTCCTTCTCTGAAGAAGAACTGAAGAAGTTTCTTGGATGAAAAGCAAAATGTTTTCAAAAGAAAAAACCCAAGAAAATCCAATTATTTTTTTGAAAAAAGCACCTTTGGGACAATCATGACTTGGATGATTGAGAATCTCCATAGTCTATTGCTCATATGTTCTAATTTAATTAAGACCATTATCATTTCTAGATTTTGCAGTTTATGTATCATATCTCACTTTTTAAAAAAATTATCATCTATATCCCTCTTGCTATACTAGCTTATTACTGCTGATTGATGGTTTATCCTGGCAGTGTTCCAGAACAGACAACCAATGTGTTCCCACTCTATTTTTCACTTTGTCTAAGAGCATAAAACTAATAGAATATTTATAGCTCATCATATAGCTATGCGGGGTCCCTGGCACTTTCTGAGCTTGGTTGTTTTTTTTTTTTACAGACATTTCACTACCCAACTAGGTAATGTCATCAGTACTAGGAGGGAGTGGGGTTTGCTGAGTATCAAGGACCATACATTGTAAAACTAACTACAATGATGAGTCTGCTATGTAGTAGGTATCCTGGTTTTGCTGCTTCTGCATAGACCAAGGAAGCAACAAAACAGAGTATATGGTACAAGATAAAGCGCAGATTTTTTTTTTTTAATGGAGACTATCTGATAACCTTGGAGAAGTTCATGTCTGAATTAGGTTACCAAATGCATTGCAAAAAGCATCGCTTTTTAGTTCATTACTCACGGAGATGTATATCTGGAATATGCCTCCAAGAAAACCTGCCAGTTGTTCACAACCATCACATCCCACAAAGTCACTAGTGCTGCCTATATTAGGGATAAGAAAAGTAGTTGTAGTGCACATTAACCTATTATGAGAATTTCAGAATATATAAGAGAAAACTTGGAGCTACCAAGCCATAGGATAGGATAGGATAGGATAGGATAGGATAGGATAGGATAGGATAGGATAGGATAGGATAGGATAGGATAGGATAGATAGAATAGAATAGAATAGAATAGAATAGAATAGAATAGAATAGAATAGAATAGAATAGAATAGAATAGAATAGAATAGAATTATTTATTGGCCAAGTGTGATTGGGCAAACAAGAAATTTGTCTTCAAGCTCTCATTGTACATAAAAGCTATAAGTGATAAATCATGATCATAAGCATCATAAAAATCATAAATCAAAAGATACAACACTTGGTGATAGAATCAACATAAATCATACTAGGAAACTAAATAAAACAATATAAATCGTAAAGATACAAGCAACAAAGTTATAGCCATAAGTAGAAAAGGAGATAGTAATTAAAGCAACGAATTAATACATATTGAATAATACTCACAGCAAAATCATCAAAGTTGTTTGGCCAATACTCCAGTTGTTCAAAAGTGCCACACTTGAAAGTTGTATTTAAAAAGCTATAATGGAATAATAAACAATCAGAAGTTATTTCATCACTGTATGCAGTGTGGCACTGCACAGATCAAACGTTAAATTAGCTGATTCTTTTACCACAAGTATACTTTTAGATTTCTTAAAATGAAGAGGAAAATTAAGTCTGGAGATTTTAAATCTATTAAAGATGTAGACAGGACAAAAAAAAAAAGAATAACATCCTTCAAAGCTAAAGTGAAAAAAGTGAATACAGTGAAAAAGATAAACAGTCAGCCAGATGTTGCAGCAGAAATATTAACTTTAAATTCAAGAAATATAGGTATTCCTCAACTTACAACTCCAACTGGGACTGGAATTTCTGTTTTAAGTCATAAGTTGAGTCAGCCCAATTTTTATGATGGTTGTTCATGGAGTTAAGTGGATCCAGCTTCCCTAATTGACATTTCTGGCGGAAAATTGGCAGAAAAAGATTACAAATCACGTGATTGCAGGATGCTGCAACTGGTCGTAAATGCAAGCCAGTTGTTAAATGCCTAAACTGCGATCACATGATGGTGAGGATAGTGTGAGGGTTGCAAGTGCAAATACAGATCGTAATTCATTTTTTCCCACTCCGTCTGAATCGTCATCAAATGAACAGTCGTAAGTTGAGGACAATCTGTAGTGTTAGTAGAGAGTTAAACTAGAAATCATTCAGTCCAGAATCCTTTCCTCTGCAAGAACTCCACTCTAAAGACACTTTCTTAAAAGAAGAAGAAAATATATATCTCTACCCAAATTCTGTTATTTTTCTTCACTATGATGAAATTATAACCGGGTTTTGCAAAGCTTGACTTTCAAGCACAGTTGAAATCTTAGAAACACTATTGTTAAAGATTCTTCCACATAAGAGCAAACTGGCCCATGATAGCAATAAATTCTTATTTGCATGCTTTCAAAGAAAGAGTGCCTGGACTGAACAATCCATATATTTGGACTAATATAACCAGCTGGCCAGAAATATATCAGTTAGCAATGCAGACCTCATGCTGAAGTTTTGAAGTAAGCCCAGTGCAAAAGTGAGGATTATTCTTGTACCTCTGGTTCAAGTGGGAGAAAAATGAAGAGTCTATGCCAATGTTGGTGAACCTTTTTGGCACCGAATGCCAAAATGGAAGCGTGCGCAGACGCACAGGGGAAGCACCGGAAACCAGAAGACCAGCTCCCTAGCGTGCATGTATGCGCTGGGAAACTGAGCTTCCGGTTTCTGGTGTGTGCATGAGCGCCAGTCACCTGGTCTTCCGGTTTCTGGTGCGCATGCATGCGCGATGACTATCTGGCCAGCGCGCATGTGTGCGCCAGAAACTGAAAGCTTAGCTTCCCAGCGAGCACATGCGCACCAGGGAGCTGCTCTCTCTGATTTCGAGCACACCCACATGCACGAAGACCAGCAGGCCGGCGTGCATGCGCATGCCAGAACCTGGAAGAGTAACAGATGATGGCTGGCGTGCCCGGAGAGATGGCTCTGCATGGCACTTCCGGCATGAGTGCCATAGGTTTGCCATCACAGGCCTAGACCAGTGATGGTGAACCTTTTCGGCACTGAGTGCCCAAACCGGAATGTGTGCACATGTGTGTGCATTGGAGGATCGGAAACCCAAAAACCAGCTGGCTGGTGCACATGCCAATAGTCTAGGCCTGCATAAGCGCATGTGCACTGGCCAGCTAGTCTTCGGGCTTCCAGCGCTCCAGCACACGCGAAGACCAAACCAAAAGAGCAGCTGGCGACGGCACGCATGCCCACAGAGAGGGCTCTGTGTGCCACCTCTGGCATGCCTGCCATAGGTTCGCCATTACGGGTCTATGCCATGCCACACTTCCAAAATACTTTCCAAAGCTCAGCGCTATAGAGAAGTTGAGCTTCTTACCCTCTGAAATATTTCTAAGTTTGGGATCAAGGAGGAGCATCTTGCTAATGTTTTTTTCCTGCTATTCATCACTAGTCCTAGCGATGGCTCAACAAAGAAATAAGCTCTGCCCTGCTATCCTGCATCAAAGGCAGGTAATGTGCCACCACTCCCTCTTACAAGCTAGAAGAATCAGAATCAGAATCAGAATCGAGCTGGAAGGGATCTTAGAGGTCTTCTAGTCCAGCCCCTGCTCAAGCCAAGCAAGAGATCCTATAGGAAGAGATGCACTGATAAAGGGCAAGACAGAGGAAGTTCACATGTTCAAGAGGCAGTAGAGAGCAGCAGCTGTACAAATCCACACTGGTACATGGGGAATAGGCTTAACATATCAGATAGGCTGGCAGACTGGCAGTGATGTGGGATAGTAGAAAACTGTTTTCTAAGCTCATTTATAATGACAGGTGGCAAATACAGAACTGATGCCAGTGGCAAATACAGTACTGATAGTCCTCAATGTATGACCACAACTGAGCCCAAAATTTCTGTTGCTAAGTGAGTTTTCCCCCATTTTACGACCTTTCTCGCCACAATTGTTAAGTGAATCCCTGCAGTTGTTAAGTCAGTAACATGGTTGTTAAGTGAATCGGGCTTCCTCATTGACTTTGCCTGTCAAAGGTCGCAAAAGGAGATACTTGACCCTGGGACACAGCAACTGTCATAAACATGAGTCAGTTGCCAAGTGTCTTAGTTTTGATCTGGTGATCATGAGGATGCTGCAATGCTCACAAGTGTGAAAAACAGTCACAAGTCCCTTTTGTCAGTGTCTTCGTAACTTCGAACGGTCACTAAATGAACTGTCGTAAGTGGAGGACTATTTGTATTATAGAAATTTGACAGCTTCAAAGTTTAATCAATGCTTTACAGATAATTATTCCTAGAAACAGCTTCTAGGAATAGAAATATCTAGTATGATCTTAATTTTAAAAATCCCTCTCTCTGTAGCCTTATATAGGTGGTTCTCAGTGTACAACCATTTGTTTAACAGCCATTCAACGTTACAATAGCACTGAAACAGTGACTTACAACCGGTCCTCATACCGCACAACCATGACAGCATCTCCATGGTCACATGATCAGCATCGATGCACTTGGCAACTGGCATTTATTTATGACAGTTGCTGTGTTCCAGGGTCATGTGATCTCCATTTGCAATCTTCCCTGCTGGTTTCAACAAACCAAATGAAAGGGGAAAGCTAGATTCACTTCATGGATGTGTTTTACTAAACAACCAAGGTGGGAACTGTGACAAAAAATGTTGTAAAATGGAGTGAGACTCACTGAACAACCACTTTGCTTACCAATGGAAGTTTCAGACCCAATTGTGATCGTTAAGTCGAGAACTATCTGATAAATTCGCCTCATTTGCACAAGGAACATCACAATTGGGTTCTTATTAACATTTAGCAGTTTTACAGATATATTTCCATGCTCTACTAGAGGCTACACAGACCAACTGTATCTTCTGGCCTTCTTGCAAGCAGGAGTGGCATGCTCATTTCCCATCTTACCTGACATTGCCCATGGGAGTAATGGTGCCTCCAAACAGCTCCATGCCAATTATTGCAAATGCATAGAAAGCCACCTGTGAAATAAAAGTTGACATGATACTGAAGCCAACTGAGAACGTTGCAACAACACGGTGTAAGCTTCATTTAGTTGACCTCATAAATCAGAAGTGTGGATTATTGTTGAACTCTGACTTCTCCTCCCCCGTTGCTTAAGCTTACACTACTGTCTGCATCATACTTCCAGGAGAGTGACCCCATGATTTGATGTTCACTCATTTACATGAATACAGTTGCATTATTTTTTCTTCAGAGCTATCAGCATTCTGCACAAGAAGTTTGCTATAAAGGTAAAGGTTCCTCTCGCACATACGTGCTAGTCATTCCTGACTCTAGGGGGCAGTGCTCATCTCAGTTTCAAAGTTGAAGAGCCAGCACTGTCCGAAGACGTCTCTGTGGTCATGTGGCCGGCATGACTAAATGCCAAAGGCGCACGGAACGCAGTTACCTTCCCACCAAAGGTGGTCCCTATTTTTCTACTTGCATTTTTTACATGCTTTCGAACTGCTAGGTTGGCAGAAGCTGGGACAGTTTGCTGTAAATCACTGCAATTGCTCCAAAAAAACAGCAACTGGTAAATCCAGGGATATGCTTTATTTCTGGCTTGCCATGTTACCTAGACTTATCCATAGTCAAGCTTATATTTTCCAGGAACAAAAAAAAAATTTTTTTAACTTTGAATTATAAAAATAGAGAGGGAATGAAGATAGCAAATATACAAAAGACTCTTGTTTGGCTGTCTTAAAAGTAGATACAGACACTCCGGAATATTTAAATCATCTTCCTATCCGTATGCTTTCTAATCCTGTAATGCTCTTCCTAATATTATAACAGCTTCTCCATGCACATTGTTTAGGGCAGGGGTCTCCAACCTTGGCAACTTGTGGATTTCAACTCCCACAATTCTTGGAGTTGAAGTCCACAAGTCTTAAAGGTGCCAAGGTTGGAGATCCTGGTTTAGGGGGCTGCAGCCAAATATCCCAATAACCTAAACTTTATCCATTGTTATTACTATAAATACAGCATATACACTGAGGTAGGCTGCAGTGCTTCTGCACATAATAGATGTTCCTTCAAACAATTAATTACTTCACTGTAATTCTCATTACTCTGATTTTCAGATGGGCACTAAGTACTTTCTGGCAGAAAAGCATCATAACATCTATATGCGATTTTTTAAAAATGTCAACTTCCTTTTATAAAAACGATCACATAAATGCTTTCAAGTGTTATCTATGGGGTCGGTTTTTTTAAAGGAACGAACAGGGTATCACAGCAAATCTAACCGAGTCCCTTAGAATAGTATCAATATGCGGCATACACAAATTGTATGTGCATGCCTCCTTTTCTCATACACACATGTTATTTCTGGCCTTGCTTTAAGGAAGATAAACATTTCAGTGAGCCTGGGAAAATTGTTAGTATTTATGACTCTGTTATGGAAAAATCCCATGAATTATCTGCCAAATAATTTAAAAGATTTTAATTGCACTGGATTATTTTCAACTGGCACTGCATAAACCTGCCAATAGGTGGAGCTCTCCTCCTTGTGATCATCATAGAAAGTCAAATTAATTATTAAGACCCATTCTAAATCTGAATGATAATAAGTTCTACTCTAGAATCTCTTTCTAAAGCAGGAATAGTATGCAAAACCTAACCATGACCTAACCATGGCTACATTATTTGGAAGGGATAACAGTATTATATATCTAAAACTCATGAAGTAATAATCACTGTGGATTAGTGCAAAGGAGACCAAATATTCTAGCAAGAAATTTTCTTCTCTTCCATTGTATAACAATTGTTGAGGGACTTATGATTTCTTGAGGCCTAACAATAATGGGCTGCTGTTGATAATAACGGATCGGGAGTCAATACTGATCACTTTGAAATATAACTGATCCTGATTATAATTCAAAGGATCCATTAATAATGCAAGTATCACCAGAGATAAGGAGATGAAGAAGTAGGAGAAACAAATTCAGGTATTAATATTTAAAGATATGATTCTCAGAAAGGCCACAAGTGAACAGAAAAAGTTAAGGATAGGAGCTATTTAACTGAGACCATAACTGCTGATAGAATTAGAATGATTCTCTTTCTCCCTCTGTTGCAAGATGATGGAATTGTCCAATAACATTCACTACATTTACTATATAACATCCAATAGAACGGGATGTTCTAAGCTGGCTGAGGAATTCTGGGAGTTGAATTCCACAAGTCTTCAAGCTGCCAAGGTTGGAGATCCCTGCAATAGAAAACTCTGGGTCACTCCAAGGCAAGAGATATCAGTATCTAACTGATCTTTGCTAATCCCAGAATATTAAAAGTACTTGGATGAGAGACTACAGGAAATCCCACAGCCATACACATGACTAAGTAAAAGAAAACATTCTGGTAAACTACTACTGACAAGTTCCCAAACAAATCACATGGACCTGTCCATATAGTCATCAAGAGATGCGCATCTTTGCAGGGAGTCCTTGACTTATGATTGTTTAATGGCAGTTCAAAGTTACAGTGACCTTGGGAAATGTAATTTACAACCTATCCATGTCAGAGGTGGGTTTCAGCAAGTTCTGACCAGTTCTGGAGAACTGGTAGCGGAAATTTTGAGTAGCTCGGAGAACCGGTAGTAAAAATTCTGACTGGCCCCACCCCCATCTATTCTCTGTCTCCCAAGTCTCAGCTGATTGGGAGGAAATGGGGATTTTGCAGTAACCTTACCCTGGAGTGGGGTGGGAATGGAGATTTTACAGTATCCTTCCCCTGCCACGCCAACCAAACCACACCCACAGAACCGGTAGTAAAAAAATTTGAAACCCACTACTGGTCCATGTGCAGAAATGGATAGATCAACATTGAAAATTAAACAGAAAGAGGATATAGAATATTATCAAACATGGAATTTATTTTACCAATGGTTGGAAAAAAGGGGTGGAGATTAAGAATATAATTTGTATTGTTAAGCAAATTAAAAACCCCCACAACACGATGTTTATTAAGCATTAAGAAATGTATTTAATAGAAAATCAATAAAATTAAATTAAATAATTTTTTTTAAAAAAAACTTACAAGCTGTCTTGGAACCTACGACAGTTGCAACATCCCAGAGGTGGGTTTCAGCAGGTTCTGACCAGTTCTGGAGAACCGGTAGCAGAAATTTTGAGTAGTTCGGAGAACCGGTAATAAAAATTCTGACTGGCCCCGCCCCCATCTATTCTCTGCCTCCCAAGTTCAGCTGATCGGGAAGAAATGGGGATTTTGCAGTAACCTTCCCCTGGATTGGGGAGGGAATGGAGATTTTACAGTATCCTTCCCCTGGAGTGGGGTGGGAATGGAGATTTTACAATTTCCTTCCTCTGCCACACCCACCAAGGCACGCCCACCAAGCCATGCCATGCCCACCAAGCCACACCCACAGAACCGGTAGTAAAAAAAATTGAAACCTATCACTGAAACATCCCTGCAATTATGTGATCGCAATTCGGGTCTTGGCCATTGGCTCTCATTTCTGTCAGTCACAGCATCTTGCAGTCATGTGATTGTGACTTGCATCCTTCCCAGCCAGCTTCTGACAAACAAACTCAATTGTGGGAGCTGGATTCATTTCACAAATGATGAATTGCTTAACAACCAGTGATTCACTTAACAACTGTGATAAAATGGCTGGAAAACCAGGTCCTGTCACAGTTTATGACTGTTCTGACTTACGATGGAAATTCTGATCCCATTTGTGGTCTTAAGTTGAGGACTGCTTATACTTTATTATTTTTTTCTTTTGAGAAAGAGAGAATTAAAAACAGAATGTCAGTCTGTCTGCTGGGATAGTGATTAAAGACACCAAGCTGGAAATCAGGAGACTGTGAATTATAGATCTGCCTTAATCACAAAACCAGATGGGTGATTTTGGATCAGTCACACTCTCCTCAACAATAGAAGGCAATGACAAACCACTTCCAAAACTGTTGCAAACTACAGAGACCTCTCCAGTACAGTAGTTGCTAGGATCTAAGGCTGTTCCAAAGGTGTGCAGGCAAACACACACACATACACAAATACCATATGCTGTATGAATAATTTGGTACATGGAGAATTTCAACAACATAGCACACACTTCATTTAAATTCTTACATGGCTTCTACTTTTTTCACAGTTGAGTGTCTTGGGGAGAGCAAATAAATAAGACTGGGGAAAGATTCCCCATTCCCCAGATTTTTCCATTTAAATTTAAAAAAAAAAAAAAAAACCTTAAAAGCAAACAGCACCCTAGAACTTTGAGATGTTTATAAGCTATGAGGATCTCAGTTGTCCTTGAATTTCTCTGGTTCCCAAACATTGTCTAAATGTCAATAAGCATTTTCCTACTTTAATTTCTTTTTTTAAAAAAAACCACAAAATATTTTTCTTCATTCCTGAAATACTCCTGAAATGTGTAGAAGGCTTGCAAGTGTAGCTTTGCTTCCCCAATGACACCAAGTCTATTAATTCTGCAGGACTCATTTATCCTCACTGTGCAAAATACCATTCCTTAAAAATATACTGGTACAGATTACACTCTTTTTAGCTGACAAATTAGTTTTACATGAGTCAGCTGCTCTCAGTATTCCATAGATCCTGGAAGCTCACAGCTCATTCTTAGTCCATATCTTTTTTTAATTTTATTTTTTTACAATAGATTTATGCCTATAAACCTAGGGAGGTCCCATCCAGATAAAGCTATTATTATCTTTCTACTGTCTGCTTGATCAAGTTCAGTATTAGACAAAAAAAAAAAAAAGATAGAAAGATAGAGTGAATGGGCAGCCCCCATTAAAAAAAAACTACATTTGATTTATCTATTAAAACAACAGGGTCACCAACATTCCTTTCCACAAATTGCCAATGTTTCTTGACAAAAATTATTTCATAGACGATGGAATAAACAAAGATACACAAATCAATCTCACTGTTGTTGTGTTTTTACTTACCACCAAAATTCCTGCAAAGGTTCTTATGTTTTTCACTAGATCCAGAAGTGTACTGGCAACTAAAGACATGAACTTTGGAAGGGGGAGGGGGGAAGAAAAGAATCATTAATGTATTTATTTTTTGGTATTCTTTAGTCTTAAGAGAGAAAAGCAAAATTAATTTTTTTTTTAAAAAAAATGTAATTACTGTAATGTTTGGGATGATCCGTAAAAATCTGAACACAATAAGCATATTTGCTAGACGAACCATGTCCCATAGAGACAGCAAGCCCAACATTTCAGGTCTCCTAGAAAAACAGAAAAAGAGATTTGATTTGCAGGGGAAAAAACAAGAGGAGCAACCAGCAACATTAAAAGTGGTTGCTCTTTCAACCAACCAAAACATAATTTTAGCCATGCCAGATATTGGGGGAAAAAAGATAAAAACCAAGATCATACATAATAGGCTGAATCTTAACCATCAGTCTCCATTCTTGAATAATTTTGTTGTTATTAGTTCAAGATTAAATATAAAAGGATGGAGTTTATACATATTTGCAAGAGTTTTAAAGGTGGTATGATCTGATACAACTTTTATTTTTTTACTCCGTTTTGTAAGGCACCCCTCCCGAGACATACTGTAGAATATAAATGCTATGTGGCAAAATCCCAATATTGTAGTCTTTTCTCTGTAGAAACATAGATCTTATATTCACACCCTTTTAAAAGAGTACCTTGACACTTCCAAATCACTGAAATCAGTCAGAAAAAAATCATTTTACACAATATAAGAAATAACTTCTGCTTTTGAGTTTTTCCACTTCAATATTCCAACAGAACATAATCAGCTGTTACTAGAAACACTACTGCAGATACCAATTCCAAAGTAACCAAACATTGCTCACTAAGGACACATACCAGCCTGGATGAGGAAACCCATATACAGCAAATGTGGACACCTCCAAAACCTTTGAGAAGAGAAGAAGTAAAAAGTAAAAATTATAACTGATTGGGGTATAACATGTCCATCTGTCAACAAAAACAGGCAAAGCTAGCAAAATGATTTCCTATCTCAGCAGCATCTGCAATGACCCCCAATGTTGTTCAAGAGCTGGGAAGAGATGGAGGGGGAAGGCAGCAAAAGAATGCCAGGAAGAAGAGATTAAGAAGTCCATTTGTTCATCATTGGGTCAGATCATTCATTAGACATTAATATTATTCAAGTATAACATGGGGAAAGGAAAGAAACAGTAATTAAGCTCAACAAGTTTTTAATTCAAAAGGAAGAGAATTCTGAATTTAAGATGAGCACCACCACCCCTTCCATAGGATTACACAGGGTAAAAAAAAAAAGTGGTAAACACAAATAAAATCCTATATTTTGCCCATTTTAACTCCCAACTTCCACTGAAATTATTCCTGGACACGTGTGCATGTTTGCATGTGTGCATGCATGCATCCTAGCCTGAAATGAAATTAAAAATAAGGGCAATGCTAGGCAAAATACCAAATTAATTGCCATTCAATTGATGAGTACTAAATACAGTTAATTTCCTATCAAACATCTCATTTGAATAATGTCAAATATCTCATTTGAAGAGTGAGTTGATTCACATCTACCTATCTTCACAGACATATATGAGAATACTATATATGTACATATATACCTAGACACACACACATCATTCTCTTATTTAAGCACCTTAGTGGCACAGTGGTTGGAATGCAGTACTGCAGGCTACGTCTGCTGACTGCCGACTGCCAGCAGTTTGGCAGTTCGATTCTCACTGGCTCAAGATTGATTCAGCCTTCAGCCTTTGAACTATCTATTTTGGATTTCTTTTACCGATAAATATATTATATCTATTTTGAGTTACAAGGCAAGAGAGTCATGCTGGGGCATGCAGAAGATCTGGCTGTTACCCACTAAGATGATGGGGATTTATAATCCTGATGAAAACCACAATTACAACTATATGGAATATAATTATAATGTCACTCGGGTGGTTGTTTTTACTTTTATATATACATGAGGATATTCATTATTGATGGGGGCAGAAGATGACTGAAGATTTTGAATAAACTGTTGCACCAGGATGCTATGTTACCCTATTATGGATGACGGATTTAACAATCTAGTGGAAAGACATCAAAGAAGATACTAAATGAATTTAAATTTAAAGTTATTGTCTTTTCTCTTTTTATAAAATGGAATGTATATATAGACATATGTATATTTCAGCAGAGTGGGCAGTGGATTATATTTAGAATTGTAGTGCATGGTAATCTTGCAGGAAACTGGGTTGAAATAGGCTAGTTTAGTGATTGATTAGTTTAAGAAAAAGGATTTTTAAGTCATATATTTTGGGGAGTGGAAGAATTGGATAGAACTGAATAAATTTGGAGAAGGCTGCTTTGAAATGTTAAATTAATATATATAAAAGTAAAAGTTATGTTGTTGTAATAATAATAATATTTTATAAGTTTGGGGGAGGAGAAAAAGGGTAGATTGTGAAAAGCGGAGAAAAGCGGAGTTATAAGAATACTATGCTAAGGGTCAGTACTTTGAGGAGTGAGTAAGGGCATGGTAAAATATTATGTAATTAATTATGAATTAGCTTATTGTTGTGAAGAAGAAGTCACAGGGGGGGATGGGTGGTGAGGGCGGGTTGGGGAAGAAGGGAGGAAAAGGGGGGAAAAACTTGTATTTGAAAAACTTTTTCAATAAAAAAAAAAAAAGATTGATTCAGCCTTCCATCCTTCTGAGGTCGGTAAAATGAGGAACCAGGTGGGAGACTCTAAAGTCCCACTCTAAAGTCCCCCCACTACAGAGCCTTGGTAGTACAGTGGTTTAAAGCACCCTGTTATTAACACAGCTGCCTGCAATTACTGCAGGTTCGAATCTTACCAGGCTCAAGGTTGACTCAGCCTTCCATCCTTTCTAAGGTAGGTTAAATGAGGACCCAGTTTGTGGGGGCAATAAGCTGACTTTGTATAAATATACAAAAGTATGAAGGCTATTGCTTAACACATTGTAAGCCGCCCTGAGTCTCCGGAGAAGGGCGGCATATAAATCAAATAAATAAAAAATAAAAAATAAAAAAAAGTACTGTGAAGCAGTAAATAAGCCTAAGTGCTATTGCTATTTGCAGACATATAAAGAACGACAGACACACCCACTTAGAAAAAAGGAAACCATGGCCTCAGAAGCGATAAAGAAGTTTTCATAAAGCTCAAAGGAATATCTTTATGAGCTTTCTTCAAAAAAAAGAAAAGCACTTCTTGAAAACTCTTCTGGAAGAACTATTATGTAAAAGCAGAATGGAAATAATTCCATGAAACTTACCATCAGAACCAAAGTCAGAAGCCCATCAAATATGTTGCTCGGATAGGATAAATATCTTTTTAATCCCAAGGCCACTAATTTCAGCAATATTTCCAGAAGATAGTACAAAATAAAGAAACAGTTTGTAACCTTGAAAAAAGAGAGTGAAAGTGCAATTAAAATCAGAGCTTTTAGAGAATAACAAGAACAGGGTCTCATGAGAATAGATGGTCTTACCCCTAAAAAAAAGTCATCTCGCAGAGCAGGTGGCTTATCTGCATCTATTACCATGATTCCCTGGAATGGAAAATGTTCACAGGTTATCAGAGGCAAAACAATTGTAGTACATTATAAGTAATGCATCTAGAACACGGGTGTCAAATTCATATTGTTACGTCGTCGTCACGTGACGTATCAGGACTTTTTTCCCTTTCACTAAACCAGGGGTGGGCATGGCCAGCACGGGACACATCCAGTCGGTGACACCCCTGATCTAGAACATATAAAGTAGTCATGAAAAATTACAGTCTATGAAAAATATTAGTCAACCGACTACTATTTGTTAGATACAAAGTTATAACATCTGCATGCCAATCAACTCTCCAGAAGGTTTTCTAAGATAATCTCACCAGTCGTATATGACCTAATCACTGAGGTGCCTTTTATTTGATCTCCTCAAATAATCTAAGGACACAATGGCTTGTAGAAAAATATCCCCCAGGCCTATAGCATTCAGGAACACAGTGCTAGGCTACCCCCACAATGTCCTGCTTATATACAATTGCAAACATGAATATCCGCAAAGCCATTGGATAAAATATCTGACCATGACTTAGAAATCTAGGTTCAAATCCTGATTTATCATGAAGCATCTTAAGATACAGCAGGGCAGTTGAATAGCTTCACCCTAATCTATCTCACACAGTTTGTGAAAATAAAAGACATAGGTCGAGCCATCAGCTTTTTGCAAGAAAAGAGAACAGATAAGCATTGTATTAATTATAATTCCTTTTTTTAAGCTATCTGATAGCTTAAAAGCTTTAAGAATCAGATCATTGTTTCAATCTTCTGCTTGTGGTGTAAACCATGGGTGATGGAACTTTAATCTAGAACTCCTGTATTCTTCAGTGGACAGATGAAGCTAACTTACATAAAATGATTAGAGGTTTCTTAATACTTTAAATACTTTTCTTACGTATTTTTCTTATATACAATATGGAAAGAACTTTCCTTACAAAGGGAAGATGCCACTTCGAATGAGACCATATACTTACGCATACACAGGAAATATTTGCTAGTGCTACAACGTTTCCTAAATATCCAAAATAGTGATGGCCAAAGATAAACTGAACTCGTTGTAAGAATGGTGACTGATAATCTGGTTTGGGAGGACGCTGAAAAGAAAACAGAATAAGAAAGTCTATCAGGAACCATTTTCACAGGATGCCTTTGAGAAAATGTGGCCTTGGGATATTGTCTGAAAAGGACATACCATTTCATCAGCTTGATGCACATCCCTGAGCAATGTCTGCTATTGAAAGCACTACAGGTAGTCCTCAATTTACGGCCATAATAGACGCCCAAAATTTATGTTGCTAAGTGAGACATTTGTTAACTGAGTTTTACCCCATTCTATCACCTTTCTTGCCATGTTTGTTAAGTGAATCACTGAAGTTGTTAAATTAGTAACACGGTTGTTAAGTGAATCTGCTTTCCCCATTGACTTTGCTTGTCAGAAGGTCACAAAAGGTGATTATGTCATCCCGGAACATTACAATTGTCACAAGTATGAGTCAGCTGCCAAGGTTTTTAATTTTGATCACATGATCATGGGTCGTCGTGTGGAAAAGGGTCATAAGTCACTTTACGTTCACTAAATGAACTGATGTAAGTTGAAGACTACCTGCATATATGATTCTCCTTAAGTTTATCCTCTCTTTAAAGACTTGGGGGCATGGATACCATGACAGAGTGGCAGAAATATATATATATATTTATATTTATATTTATATTTATATATATATGTGTGTGTATAGTTAATATTTCGGGTTTCTTCCCGTGTAATTGTGGATATATCCCTAAAAGGGTAGAAGCGACGTTTCGGCAGAATCCCATCTGCCATCATCAGGCTTATGCCAGTAGTCATTTTGCACTAACTGACGTTGGAATTTCAAATCTGGTGCTGGTATTCTGGGATGGCTCCACCTTTTCATTCTGATTGGTTGGGAGTCCCAGTATGTGTTTATTGGCTTGGCTTCGGGTGTATGGTCGGTTTTTCTCCACTAGGTGGCAGGGCTTTATCTTTGTGGCTGGTTTGAATATGATTTGGTTGGGATTTTTTTGTGCAATGTTTGGTCCATGTTCCACATATGGTGTCAAGATTCGTCTATCTATGAGAGCAGGTTTCCAAATAGTAGGCAGACGTGAAGTGTCATCCCGTTTATTCATGCAATATGGTCTTTTTTCCATTTCTATTGCTTCTCTGATTATCCTGCCATTGAGATGTTCTATTTTTGCAACTGTTTTTGTGTTATTAAAATTAATGTTGTGTCCTGTTGTATTTATATGTTGAACTAATGATGATGTGTGTTCTTGCTTTTGTATTGAGTTTTTGTGTTCCTCGATGCGCACACTCATTCTTCTGTTGGTCTGTCCAATGTATGTTGATGGGCAGGAAGCACATGGGATTTCATATATGCCTTGATCTTCTAATTCTATTTTGTCTTTGGGGTTTCTCAGAATGGACGATATCTTTCTATCTGTGCAAAATATGGTTTTGATGTTGTGTTTTTGTAGTACTTTGCTAATTTTATCTGTTGTTCCCCTTATATAGGGCAAGATGGCTTTCCCATTGTTTTGTTCCTCTTGTTGTTTTTTATTCTGTCTTGGTGTTGTATGTTTGATCATATTGATGACTTTATTTCTACAGAACCCATTTGATGTCAGTACATTAGTTAGTGTAAGGGGAACAACAGATAAAATTAGCAAAGTAGTTAGTGCAAAATGACTACTGGCATAAGCCTGATGATGGCAGATGGGATTCTGCCGAAACATCGCTTCTACCCTTTTAGGGATATATCCACAATTACACGGGAAGAAACCCGAAATATTAACTACACACACACACACACACACACACACACACACATATATATATATATATATATATATATACACACACACCTCTTTTTATCTTTTTAAATATACATCTTGGTCAATGATTCATTAATAAAAAGACTTCTCATCCAAAAATGTATATGGCTCAATTATCAGCACAGAATACTTATCTATATCTGAACAATTTAGAATATACCTGGTAAGTAGGTGGGCTCCGGCATAGTAGACAGTATTCCACTATTGTAGATATTGTTACACAAATTACTGCAAATATTACATTCCTCATAATAATCTTAAATTTAGACAGCAGAACATTAGTAGTCTCATTTGGGAGCAGAGAAACACTGTACTAATAGGATACATAACTTCCAACCTCTAGAATGCTTCTAAAAGTTACTACTCAAATATAATATTTAATTTACAAAAGGGGAACCATTCATTCGTCTTAATCATGGCTATTTCTCTGATTCATAGCCAGCTTATTTTTGGTACCACAAACTATTGAAGCCAAGAGTGACTTTTGGCCTGCATTTCCCTGTTCTGATGTTATGTTCATCCATCCATCCTTTCCATTAACATATACAGCCCCTCATCACTCCCTGAAAACAACATTTCAGAAATGTCCTTGAAACATGTAGTGTTTATTACTTTCCATTGTACAGAATTTCAAAGTGGTTTTACAACAGTGCTACAGGAGAAGAGAAACAGTAGGTAAAAACAGCAGCTAGGAAAAGCCAACAGAAAAATGTGAGTCTTCAAGGCATACTTAAAAACATACTTAAGCATGTTTTAAGCATACTTAAAAGCATAGCAGCCACAGGACAGGTACCACTGTAAAATCTGTCCAGTTTCTTGATATTGCCAGGAATTGTTTTTCCATTTCATTATATATCTAAATAGATTCAAGCATTAATAGCTCACAGGTTTATACAAACCACATCAGCAATAGCTAGTCTCATACCTCTTTAACTTTATGCTTGTCAAGTTCATCAAAAAGTGTCTGAAACTGAGTAGCCGACAGCCCTCCTGGGGGACAAGATTCAAGCTTCTACACATGGGACAGAAACAGGTATGTATCACAGATTTCATGGATTGGTAAAAACAGTATCTTTAAAACAAACTAAAGTGACACATACTTAACTAAAAATGATGTCCTACCCTAATGATTGCTTCTTTGCAATAGGAATCCAGTTTTACTTTCTGGAGGACTTGAAGAAGAGCTTCAGATTGGACACTCAAGCTAGGAAACCAAAAGCACAATATATGGGAAAGTGGACACTCAAGCTAGGAAAGTAAAAGCCACATATATCTTCTGCTGTTCAGCCTTCGCACAAACATACCTTGTGCATAATTAGGCACAATTACTAATTAAACATTTAACACCGCACAGTACTTGAGCAAAATGGTTCAGTTGAGATCGGCATATATGGAACTGATTGGGGTAGAGTGTAGGGGTGACACCGAAATATAATTTTATCGTATTTTATTTATCTATATATTAAATTATTGTATTTTATTCCAATTTCATTTTAAACTATATGTTATTCCAATTCCATTTTAAATTGTTTTTATCAGATTTTAATAATAATTTGCATCTGGAACTCTGCACTTTGATATGGTCCAAGGGCTAATCAATAAAGTAAACTAATTTTCTACCAGTTCTTTAAGAAGTCTTTCACTTACATATTTTTATTGATGGTAGTGTCTTTCAAAGAACAAAGAACTTCAAAGGCAGCCCGGATTCCCAAGCGTCTCCGGAAAAGCGATGACTGAACAGATTTCTAAATAAATGTATGAAAGAAAAGCCCATCCAAATTAACAGCAGAAAGATACAGACAACTAATCCAATAGATAGGCCATTACTGTGAACGATAAAGTTACAGATTGTTTTAAAGCAGCAATTACTGAAACCCAAAGATATGAATCTTGGTTTTGCCAGAAGTACAAAATCAGGATGGCTAGAAAGGAAATGAATATCACCCAACTATATATTTTTTCAAATTTCTCAATATCGATTCAAAGGAATTATGAATATGAATCTCAGAAAAAGAAGCCACTTTCTGACATACTGAGGAGCCAAAAGTAAATACCACGGGTTGCTCTATTCCCCCTTTTTGTGGTACCCAAAGACCAACACTCAACAACTAATATCTAAATCATAGAAGCTAACGAAAAGCAAAGGAAGGACATGTAAGCCGTGTGACAGATTAAAACATGGAAAAATATTTAACATTGCCTATTCAAAGGAAAAAATTCAGTCCATATACTAGAAATGTCGTAAGTATAGCGTAGGCCCAGTGATTAATGAAAGATTAACTTGTTTCCATTAACCAAAGTTTATCCAATATTTTTTTTAAAAAAACTGGAAGTGTGGTGGTTTGTCAGTCTCCGGCCCTTCCAGCAGCTGAATCAGAGGAGGAGCAGGAGGCATAGGAGTCAGGGTCAACATCAGGGCAACCCAGGAGCTCCGAAGGGGAAGAGGGAATGGAGCTGGCAGTCAGAGAGACAGAGGCAGAGCCTGGGCCTTCCATCAGCCCTCAAATGGAGAGTCAATAGCCCCCAGGTCTGGAGGTGGTTGATGAAGAAGAAGAGGAACAGCTGGGTCGAGTGCCTGATGCATGGCTGCACAGAAGGCAGAGAAGGGTTGACCAATGGAAAGCCATGGGCCGATCCTGGAAAAGGAAGAGCCATTGCTGTGAACAAGGCTTCACCCTAGCTCTGGGGATAAAAGGCAGGGGGTGGAGATGAATAGGTGTGGCAGCCAACTATTCATCTTCCAGCCGGACGGACTTGTTAGCCTGCAAGACAAACTTTTTGCTGGGAGTGCCGGCATTTTTAATAAAGGAATCTTTTGAGTTCACGTCAGAGGATTTGTCATGTTTGGGGAGCTGGGTCAGAACAGGAAGTTGAAGAAAATATTGTGTTGCATACAGACAGGAAATCCATCAGATTATTTCATATAACAAGGAAATATTTTTGATAATTGTAATACAAAGGAACAATATGTATGACATAGTTAAGACAAACCTTGCAGAGGAAACTCATTTTGTGCATGTTTATATAGGCTTTCACTGAATGTAATTCTGTTGGAATACATGTTAGAACGTATTTGTATTGCAACAACTACAGAATTATTCAGCTAATAGATGGCAGTGTTTAGTTTGTATCTATGGTTAAAATCTATGGTTCCTTTTGTTCTGAGGAGAGTGTTCTGTGACAATTGAAACCGTTAAGCAAGGCCCATGATGACTGTACACTGTACACTTTATTTGATCTGTATGGCTATGTAATAATCCTTTGCTACCATTTCTATATAATAAAACAGAATTTCTAACACATTCATATGTTCAGCTGAAGTGTTGCCAGCTAACAAAGTGTTGCCAGCTACTGCAGCTTATATAGAATTCATATAGTTGAATTCTATATAAGCTCAGATCATTAAACTTTTTGCTAATTTTTTGACTACATTTTGATTACATTTTGTTTATGCAATGGTTATTATGTTATTTCTTGTTTCTATAATCTGAGAAGACTAGAAACAGAGGGTGTCTAGAAATAAAGTGAGAGAAACTTCCCCTCATTGGAGAAATCATGTCATATGAAAAGAACTATGGAAAAGACACATGTTGGACATCTGAAAAATCTCATCTAATCTATAGCCTTTCAGGATTCCAATTAAAATATCAGAATTATGGAATGAGCAAGTATCTTGCTGAAAAATGCTTGTTCACCATTTTAGTTTTCCAAACTTTTAAGGTTATGATTCGCTTCACACAAGAAGAATGTCACATCATCATCATAATGGGACAACCACTAGTCTGTGGCAGGCAGTCAAGTCTATAAATCACAGTCACAAAGTTGACATGGCGGCAGCAATTTCCTCCATAGTAGAAGTATAAGTTCAAGAATATGATATTTGTAAGGTCTCAGTTGTATCTCTACCATTCGTGATGAGAGCTGTGATGACGCAGTGGTTCGAATGCAGTACTGCAGGCTAATTCGGCTGCCTGCTGGCTGCCTGCAATTTGGCAGTTCAAATCTCACCAGGCTCAAAGTTGACTTAGCGTTCCATCCTTCCGAGGTCGGTAAAATGAGGATCCAGATTATTGGGGGCAATATGCTGACTCTGTAAACTGCTTAGAGAGGGCTGTAAAGCTCTGTGAAGCAGTATATAAATCTAAGTGCTATTGCTATTGCTATTCCAGTGGTCATGACATCAAAACAAGAGAATTTTCTATTCAGTAGTCTGAACTCTGATTTATCATTTTTAAACTATGATAAATGGTAACATTTGTTAAACATCACTTACCAAAAGATATCCCCGAAACTGATTGTATATTATTGCTGTCAACAAGTTCATCAGAAATAAGTTTCCTGTAACAATATGAAATGTTCTTTTTTTTTAGGCAACAGTACAGTTTTGTTTGTTTTCTTCCTGAAAACTAAAACAAAGAACTAACTTAATCTTTACATTCCACCCAATCTGAACACACAACTGAAAGAGCATACTTGGGCAATTATGGCAAGAACCTTGCTTACTCCTTGTACTGTTAAAAACAAATAAACAATACAACAAAATGCAATGACAGAAAATTGCCTCTGGAAGAGCAAATGCAGCCCTCATAAAAGATCAGGAGAATCATGCAGTACTGGGAAGTATGAATCACCAATTAAATTGAAAAGAAACAAACTAAATAAATCTCACAGGATTGCATTATACAGGCACATGCTAGCTCTATAGTATGTTGAAAGCTTTGTCATAAAACATTGCCAGTTAATACTAGTTTGCTTCTCTACAACCTCTTCTCTGCATCCTAGACAAGATAGAATCTCTAATTTTCTGCAAACATTCTGAACATCCCAACAGATAGAAATGTCTACTGTGAATTTCCTTAGTCCAGAATCAACTACTTACAGCTTCCCTACAGAAGCTCAGGATTAGTTATACTTCAAATTTCTTTTCCATGGCTTCCTGTACTGATTACAACCTACTGGACACAAGTTTTCTTCTGATGAATTTCCCAAGGGTGCTTATAAGCTGCATTTGCAAGTTCCCAATAAAACTAGTGAAGGTTTCCTTCCCTGTTTAAAATGACAAGTAGACTGTAGCCCTCAGAGCTTAAGAGCAGAATTCACTAGCAACCAGAAATGTAGTCCATTGGTTGCCCTTATTCAAGAACTGGGCATGGCTAGTCTAGTGAAGAGAAGGACCAGGGGAGACATGATAGCACTGTTCAAATATTTGAGGGGCTGTCACAGAGAGGAGAGGGATCAAGCTATTTTCCAAGGCACCTGAAGGCCAGACAAGGAATAATGGATGGAAACTGATCAAGGAGAAATTCAACCTAGAAATAAGGAGAAATTTTTTGACAGTGAGAACAATCAACCAATGGGACAGCTTGCCTTCGGAAGTTGTGGGAACTTCATCACTGGAGGCTTTCAAGAAGAGACTGGACTGCCATTTGTCAGAAATGGTGTAGGGTCTCCTGCTTGGGCAGTGGGTTGCATTAGATGACCTACAAGGTCCCTTTCAACTCTGTTAATCTAATCTAATCTAATCTAATCTAATCTAATCTAATCTTCAGTCACACTTCTATTTAGCCACTCACTTTTTATGCACAATTACCATCACATGGAAAAGAATGAGTTTACACTGCATGGCTGCTGTGGGTTTTCTATTCAAAGAAACAATCAACTTACCTATTACAGTGAAGAGTATAAAGAAGATGCAATATGCTCGATTCTTAGAATATGCAGGAATCATCACTGTACAATAGTTAAAAAACAATAAATCAAGTTTAAGAAATGTCGTGTTTAAGGTAATAATGTGCACCAATCCTTAAACAGAGACCTATGTAGCTTTTAGCAGTGAAACGGAATTTATTTTAGCAGTTATCCAGGAACTCATCGCTATCTGATGCAAATGAGGGTCTGCAATTCCTGGTTTGGGTTAGAAGCTATGCAATAGATTACAAAGGCCGATTTTATCATGCTAAACCTTATCTTAATCTAGCATTTTTTTTCCCTCTCATAAACCCCTCTGCCAAAAGATATCTCAGAAGTACCAAAAAGAAGGGTTTAAAAGGGAACAGGCCATTTTTGCACTAGCCTTCCCCTACAACTAATATGTGGAGAGCTCCTTGGGAATCAGGCATTCTTTAAATCTACGTAAACAAATATATAAATTCTACCCCAAACCAGAAGTAAGACAGCAGCTCTTGGTAGACTTGTTCTCAGTGAAGGTATCCACTCTCCTTTGTACACCCTCAAACTTAGTTACTATCATTATGTCTTGTGATAATAAATTCCACACATTAATTATTCAATGTTTTTATGGATCAGCATATAATATGAGAAAAAGCAAAGTCATTTATATACATTTTTCCGGGGGGGGGGGATGAGTAAAATGCCCCTAAAGAATTAAGAATTTCTGAGGTTAGCCACAGATTAAGAAGGAAGAGGAAAATATTTTTAGAAAAGGTTCCTCACCATCTGGATTGTTTGCAGTTGTCAACAGCACCAGCAATGAAGTTAATGAATCTGTCAAATTGTGAAAATATCCTTGCCACTCTTTATCCTGTTGGGTATCCTAACCACAGAGATCCAAATTGTTAGCAAACAGAGTAACCAATCAAAGGCACTTAAGAGCTATGCACTGTCATCTTTGGTCACCCATTCAATCCGATCAAGTACCAAATACATATTTCATTGAATGGGCTGAAAGGAATCTAGCCTATGCAACCCAAGGTAATCAACCCAATTACTTCTCGTGCAGTTGCTTTAGGCAGAGAAGTATTTCAATATCCAAATACAAAAGACATTATTTAAACTGGATTAAAAAGAAATGTAAAACATGACACATCTGGTCTCATACAGTACTTTATTTTACTAACTTGTTTTCTGGTCAAAACAAGCTATTTCTATATAAGGCACTCTATGTTGACCTTATGTTGGACTATTTACAATTTGGAACCTGTTCCTTCTGTACCACATTAATATTGAAAATTCAATCATATAAAATGAAAACATTGCAAATTGCAATTCCAGATAATCCAACCAATTTTATTTTTCCTTCATGAGACTAAGTGGAATGCAAATGCCAAAGAGGGGGTTGATTGGGAATACAAGAAAGGGATGTAAGGAAAGTATTTTGCACTACTCTGGCCCATCCAACTGATTCAAAATTCTGTCTTCTATAGCAAAAAAGCCTATTTTTATCCAGGTTTGTTGCTAATGCATAGTCAGCTCTGAGTATCCTTGATGAGAATTGACAACAGAATGTACAGGAACCAAATGACAACACATACACAGAGAGAGAGAGAGAGCAGGAGTAAAATGCTCCCGGTTCAGACTGGATCGCCTGATCTGGTAGCAATGGCAGCGGGTGGTTCAGAGAACAGGTAGCAAAAATCCCTGTCCCCACCCCCCCCCCCCGCCCAGCTGAGCTGTGCAATCATCAGAGGCTTTTTGTTTTCTTCTAAAAGCATTTTTTCTTCGGATGAAAAAATGCTTTTAAAAGTAAAAAAAAGCCTCTGATGATTGCATGGCTCAGCTGGGATCGTCAGAGCCTTTTAAAAGCATTTTTTCTACAACCTCTTCGGCCGAAAAGGTTGTAAAAAAATGGTTTTAAAAAGCTCTGACGATCCCAGATGAGTTGCCTGATCATCAGAGGCTTTTGTTTTCTTTTAAAAGCAAAAAAAAAAAGCTTTCAAAAAAACCACAAAAGCCTCTGACGATCGTCAGAGCCTTTTAAAAGCATTTTTTTTACAACCTCTTTGGCTGAAGAGGTTGTAGAAAAAAATGCTTTTAAAAGGAAAAAAAAAGTTGGCCACGCCCACTGTCACATTACCCCCCACACCAAGCCACGCCCACAGAACCGGTAGTAACAAATTTTACATTTCACCACTGACACAGAGAGAAATAAAGCAAAGCAAAAAATCAAAGGCCGTTGCTTTGTTGAATCCTAACCTGCTTAATAGGACCTGAACTGTCTGAATGAGATGATTTTATCTTCACTTTACTCAGGAAACATTTTGAACATAATGGTTTTAGGCAGCAGGACTGAAATGTATTGTTTTTCTCACACAATTCCCTGGTAGTTTTTCAATAAAGTGAATTTTCAAAAATGGCTCCCTATGACCATGGAGGAATCTTGACATGCAACCTTAACGAATACAAAAATTAAGGGGAAAACAAAGCAGCAAAAACAGAGACGAGAGAGGTGAAAAATTACAGAAGGGGGATTAATATCTTATCCACAACTTTCCAGAAGGAATTCAGAAAACATTTAGGAAAATGACAAAGAAAAGTTGGCAGATCTCAGCTATGAAATTGCCCTTCACAGAAAATGCAGAAGTTATTTAGTTCTGCTCTACCAGGGAATGTAAGATGCAGGAAAGAATCGTGTCTTGTAATTTTACTGACAATGTGACAATGGTATGAATAATTACCAAGTAAAATGATGAGCAAGGGAAAAAGTTGCCCAGATTTATCATAATGTTACGCCTAAAACATGACATGGGAGAATTTACATTTCAGGGAAAAAAAGTTTATTTTAAAAATTATACATCTTTTTATATGTATATTTTTATATATAAGCAACTGTTTTGTCCTAGACAAAGAAGCAAGATTTCATTACATGTGTTACTTACTTTTGTCCGAGCAAACAGCAACATGCCAAACATGGTAAAGAGAAACAGGTGAACAGCTAAGAGCAGCATAACACTATTAGGGAGAAAATATAATGTCAACATTATTCCTTCATCACAACACAGGACATATGTAGGGAAAGAGATGCCATAGACAACAGTCAAAAGTGAACCAGAAAAAAAAAAAGTGTGTGTGTGTGTGTGTGTGTGTGTGTGTGTGTGTGTGTGAGAAATGAGGAAAATAAGCCAAAGCCATCTAAAACTAAGAAGCAGATGACCTAGTTTAGTGGGCACCTTCAAATGGCAATGAAGAATTTTTCACTCATGAGAGCAGACTTCCTCTTGTGTCACCAAAGTCTCAGCTGCAGAAATCTTACTGCCAGCTGGACAGGGGAATGTCATCACTGCTGCTCTTTGGAGCATCTTCACTCTTCCAGCACTGGTTCCAACCCAAACTTACTCAGTTTTCCATTGTTTTCTTTCTCAAACATTAGTATAATGTGAAAGAATGTATTTATTACAGATTGGCAAATACGAGGGATGTACATTTTGAAGGTACAATATTTGGGGGACAAGTAGATCATTTGGCTTTTCCTCAAACTACCCAAATTCATCAGCTTTTGGAGTTTTCTTGAAGATTCTGGAATCTTCCAGAACAATAAATGTTTGTGGTGTTTTACTTCTGGAAAACTGCTCAGTTATTGCCAGGGTAAATGTTGCCCAAATATTCTACTACCAAAATATAAATTTGGCTTATCTCTAGCAGGCACTACATATTGTTACATACCTTGTAATTTCTGGCAATGTCCTTTTGATGCTTTTTAGTGTTTTTTTCATCATTGAAGAATTCTGAAGCAGGAAGAAAGGTCGAAGGATACGTCTTATCCTCAGGTTCTAAAAAAGAAAATATTTAGCAATGACCACAAAAACAGAACAATACCTTTAAACTAATTCCGCCATTAATTCAATAATCATTATGTATGACTGCAATAACCACAAAGTCAAATAAAACCCATGATCCCTCACACAATGCAGTCATCTGACTAACAAATGGACAGAAGACAAGCATCAAACTTCACTAATCAAGTGGCAAAGCCTCATCCGGATCTCTCTATTGCACAGTAAGAATTAGGGAGAAGCCCTTTGCAGAATTAATTTTCGCTTGCGACCCTCCCAAGTCAAAATCAAGACTTGTCGAGTCCTAAAAAATACTGCAAAATTTAAAATTATCTTAAAAAGCAAATGAGCAAGCTTATTGAAAAGAAAATCTGCTTTCTGTATAAGGAGCTATTGCTTTGTACATAATAGTTACTTACTGTGGCTGACTGTTTTAACTAAGTTATTAGCATATCAGTTACCAGATACATTTAATGTTTTTGAACTATACTGACAAATCTCCATAGGATATGCATCTTCTGTGGCCCTCCACATGTCATGCTAAGGCAGATGTAGCTCTCAAGCATATAGTATTGGTACAGATTGGAGACAGGTCTACTGGAGTATGCTGGAAAAATTCAACTGTTGTGAGGGTACAACGTAAACAATGGAAGGAGAGAACAGAATGCCATGATCGGAACAGTGACCCAGAAGGCTGACAAAGGATATCTGACATTGCAAAATTTTGTTACAGGTTTTACTTGCTTCTTCTCTAAATGATATCATTTACTGATTGCTTAAAATCAGCATCTTTCCTTTCATCTCTCCAAGGTGCTGAGAATTAGCACAAATTTGTTCATCCGTTTTATCCTCACAACTCTATGAAAGAGGTTAAGCTCAGTCATCCATATGCTTTCAGCGTGGTTTAATAATTAAAACTTCATCCTGGAAGATCAATGATGTACTTCATTTGTTACTGATGACTTGGGCAGTCATCAGTAACAAATCTTAAACTTACCTTGCAGCGGCATTAGGAGGATAAAATAATTGTGGAAGATACAATCACATATATCATTCTGAGCTTCTTAGGGAGAGGACAAAATTAGAAGGATCATATTATTTACTACTGCCGTTGCAATTGTCATCATACATATTTATTTTATTACAGAATCCAGACCAAGGTCATGCTAGTTCTACGTTTTCCATATTTAAACACAGATTACACACTGATGATAGCAGGTGTACAACCAAGTAGCATTAGTGGGTTTTTTTGTCCCAATCCCATATCACAATGATCATAGACCATCTCTTAATCCATAGATTCCCTGCCTCCCTGACATTCATCCAAGCATCCACACGCCTTACTTCATGACAGGAAGAACTCAGCGAAATGCTCCAATCTATAAGGGAGATGAGCAGGACCAGGATGTAGGCCATTAACCACTTGGTTTTCCGAAATTCTTCCCATCCAATTAAATAGCTCTAGTGAATCAACATATTTGAATATCAGTTAGGTTACTGTTCATTAACAAAAGGATCCAAATAATTTTCTTATCATAAAACCAGCTATTAAGAAAATGGAAGTTCTGATCGCGTGATAGCTTTGGGGACTATGTTCCCAATCCCAGACCCTAAAGACAAAATGTTTTGATCTATTTGGTATACATTTATGAGCACGAGCATGACATCTACATTCCCACCAAGCATTATCCTTGGCTTCTGAGCAACATGCCACGGGCTATCCTCCAAAAAGGGATGCTTAAAAGATGAGACAAAGCCTACATTTAATGTAAGTGTAAAGATCGCATTTAAATGAATTGTAATTGTTATGGTTTTTTCTAAACATTTAACCTTGTATCTTTCCCTTACAAGAAAGATTACAGTTTTGCAGCATCTTTTAGAGCAGCTCTGGGGATTAAACACAGGGTTTGGAACTCATAAATGGCTCAGAGTTCTCGGATAATAGGCCTCTAATTTAAACTTTCAAAAATCAAAATTTCCTGAGATTTCATTTTTGGAGCTGCAAGCAGGCACAGAGATGTTAGTGTAATCTTTTCCAAACTTGGCTTCTTTTAAGATTACAACTCTCAATCAACATAGCCTACAGGCTGCTAATTTACATTTTAAAACAAATAACCCATCACAGGAGAATTATTTTGCAATGATTGAAATAATATCTTCAAAACTACATTTTGAGACCCTGGTAAATTGCATAGAACAAAGAGGATACCTGTATCATAATCATCCTTATAGCTACCAAAAAGTCCCAAAGGAACAAATTTATCCTCCTATACTACTTTTTTTGTATTTCAGAAGAAAGGTAATTATGGATGAGTGGGTTGTTTCTGGATATAGTCATTGTTTACTCAGCTGTAACAGCCCACAGAAGATGCCAAGGAGACACTGCAATTTGTGATACATTCACCTTTCAGCATCAGCCTACATTAAATATTTTGCAAAGAACTATAATGCAAATGCATTAAAGATATATGGTGTTATTTAGCTTTTCTAAATAATGTATATAATCACCTTTGTTAAATATATACCCCTGGATAGTTCAGACATTATAATAAACTGCCAATACAGCTGCACCTATAATGGGCTCAACTAAGATCCTGGCCCAATACATGGGGAAGAATAAGATCTTCACAGCCTTCTACAGGCCAAAAAGATTGGGCCTTCCAAGTGTCAGGGAGGAATATATGCTGTTCCATAGGGCAGGTGCTATGACTGAAAAGTTGCCTCTCCTAGGTCTGGTCAGATGACATAGTTTAATAGGGGGGGACCCAGATTATGCCCATTCTGTCAGATCTGATGGGACAGATAGAAAACCTTGTGGAGAGGCAGCTCTGCAAGTAACCTGACCCTGTGCCAGGCAGGGCTTAAAGATGATAACCAGCACCTTGAATTGTGCCCAGAAGCATATTAGAAGCAGTGCACCTTGTGTAACAACAATGCAAAACTAGCAAACTTCACTGCACTCTAAACAGTGTACCCTACTGTATTCTGAACCATGAAGTTTCTGGGTGTTCTTCAAGAGAAGCCATGTAGAACGCATTGCAGTAGCAAAACCAGGAAGTGACTAAGGCCTGAAATACTGTAAGCAAAGACTTCTGGTTCAAGAACAGGCACAACTGGCATACAAAATGGATTTGTACAAAAGTCTACTAACCACAGCTGCCATCTGTTCTTTCAACAGGAACTGTAGGTCCTGGAGGTTCCTAAATTGCATACCAATTCCAGCCAAAGGAATACCATCAGTTAAAGGTGGAAAATTTCCAGATCCAGGAGGCCCCAAACCCATTCTATCCTGCCAGAGTTGAGTCACAGACTTTCCCATCCAGACTCTCACAGCCTCCAGAAACTGAGGAAGCACATTGAAAGCATAGTTTATCAGTCAGAGGTTGACATATATAACTACATTTTATGCATAATTATAAATCATCCTCATATGCTACCTAGTGGTTCCTTGTAGAATGGATGAGGATAAAAACACTTCACAGAGAAGGGACCTCGGGCTACATCTTTCTCCTTCAATAATACTGAGTGGAACCAGTGTTGAAGGAAGAACACTGAACAATGAAAAACATTGTTCCCCACTCCTTTCCTCCAAGCCTGGCTCAGAAGGATATTGAAATCTGCTGAGAGAACCCAGAAGGGCTCTCCAAAGGGCATCTACAAGTTCAATCAATGCTGTCTGCTTAGCATTCAAAGCCTTCTCCAGCAAGCTTTGAAACTGAGCATTTGCTATCTTCTCGTCAACTTTCCCTTAAAAATGTTGAAAATCAGGCAAAGTTATCCAAAACGTGATGTATCTCAGAGCTCACTAACCTTTACAGAGATGTCTGCTATAAAGACAAGGAAGCAAAGCAGTTCAATGCTTTCAGTCAGGCCACAAGGAGGCTTCCAAGCTTCGGAGCGATACCGAACATCTGATGTGACAGTAAGTGAAGAAGGTGTTTCAACGAAAGCAAGAGCCAGGATTAGTGTAATGGTGAAGATCAAAATCCTTAAAGAAATAAAATACACGTGTGGCAATTAAAAAGGAAAAAAAAGCCCAAAAGTTCATTTTCCAAAATGTTTCATGTCATAAAGTGATAAAAGAATATGTTTTTTCTAAAACATTGTTTGACAGTGAAATATAATTCAGTTGGCAAAAGCCTCATCAAGTTTTATAAAAACAGGAGCTCAACTAATCCTTGCTCAGCTGCCTGTGGCAACAGATCACCTGAAGATGTCAGCTAGGGCTGCCAGCAAAGCATCAGGAAATCTATTGTCTCGTCCTATTATCTAGACCACTAAACCCTGCAGCTCAACTCTGCCCTCACAGGAACTGCTTATATTTTTTAAAGGCCCTTAAAGGAGAAGCAATTAGCAAAAAACTAAAATACTGAAAATTGGAAGCAGCAGTAAGGATTTCTGGGATTAGAAAAAGCAGCTGATTTACTCAAAGAAACGGAACAGCTGGGATAAGGGGAGGAATTCTCACCATTGGCAAACTTCTGAATAATACCACCGATAAAGCCACAAGGAGTTAGAGTCCACACGATGATTTATAGAACGATACTAAAGAGGGGAAAGATAAGAGAGGTGATTCAAGCATCACTTTTAATTTACTCTTCAAGTATGGAAGTTAAAAGTTTCACAGGTAAATAATAACACTATCGAGGAAACATCTATTAATGACTAGGCAAATTTGGGCCAAAGTAGGCATTCTGTAAACATGAAACATGCAGTTATGTATCAGTTCTGTTCTAGTTCATTTCAGATACAGCTTTATTTTTTACATGTTTACAGAATATTTACCATAGTCCACATTTTCTGCGAGTTTCATTTATTAAGTTTGCCACCCATCTCGTAATGAAAACAGGATCCTTCTGCCAGCCGAATGGCACCTCTGCCACAATTTTCCCATATCATTTTTTGAAAAGTCCCTGAAGGCAGAGAAAGTCCTACTGACTGATTGGAAGCCCGTTCAATAAGAGACTCACTGCTACTAGCAATGTCATGACCACTGCTGTGCCATCACTACAGGTAGTCCTCGATTTACCACCATTCATTTTGTGACTGTTCTAAATTACAACTCTGAAAAAAGTGTCTTACTATTGGTCCATACATTTATGACAGTTGCAGCATTCTCACAGTCACGTGATCAAAATCCGGGTACTTATCAACCAGCATGTATTTATAATATTTACAGCATCCTGAGGTCACGTGATTGCCATCTGTGACCTTCCCAGTCAGCTCCAGAAACCAAAGTCAATGGGAGAAGCCACTTAATGACTATGTGATTCACTTAAAAAACTGCAGTGATTCGCTTAACAACCACAATGAAGTTGAAAAATCAAATGTGACTCATTTAACAACTGCCTTGTTTAGCAACAGAAAGTCTGTTCCCAATTGAGATCATAAGTTGAGAAGTACCCATATTGTTCAACAATGTAAAAACACAACATACATGTAATATTTTTTTACAAACGTTCTGAATTATCTGATGTTATAGATCAGGGGTGTCAAATTCGCGATAACATGTCATTGTCACGTGACATATCACAACTTTTTTCACCCTCACTAAACTGGGGGTGGGCGTGGCCACCGCGTGATGCATCCGGCCCGCAGGCCGCAAGTTTGACACCCCTGTTATAGATGATAAATCTAATCATAAACTTCAAAGTATAAATCAACATTTCAGCAGAAAAGAAGAGTAATGGAGCTTTTACTAACAGTCCTTTACTTAAAACAGTATACTAGGACCAAAGTATATATATGGCAGGTAAACTTTTACCTGAATTGCATCTTCAATGAATACTACAGCTTGGTTGAGGTAGAGGTCAGGGTCACCAATGGCTGCAAGATTCAAAAACACAATGGTTGTAAAATGGTTATAGAATGGCATTCTTTTGTTTATTTGGGAGTGTTCAAATATATTAGCTTAATGATTCAAAGCTATTTCAAGGAACAAATTAAAAAATAAGGAAGAGAAACTCCACACCCTTCTGTTGACTGCCATCAAGAAAAAGACAAAGAAATTGGCTGTCATTTAAGTTACCTTAACAAATTAGCCTTTTATGACATACAGCAACAATATTTTGAAAACTAAGTTATAAGAAAAATGTCATCTTTCCAATATACTTCTCAAGCTGTCACGAGAGGAGGGCCAATACAAGGCATAAGTCAGAGACATACCTTACCTTACCTCAGTTTTAAGTGCTACCCTCTACCCTCCCAGTTTTCTTTTCTGTGGGAAACAAGTCCAAATGGCTCTTTTGAGTGTTTAAGGTTGCAGACCCCTGGGCTAGAATATAAACTGAGAGTAAACCCCACTCCCTACTAACACTGATGATGCTGCCTAATTTGAATAATGAAATGTCTGCAAGAAAACAACCAAGCTCAGAGAGCACCAAGCACCCCTAAAATCTTTATAATTTCAAAAAAATCAAAAGAAAAGCACTTTCTCACAGAAAGGATTCTTTATAGTTCCAAAATCTTATTTCAAATGGATTCTTAAGTCTTTTTAGTAGCGTTTTAAAACTAAAAGGAGCAGGTAGACAAAGGGCAGGGAAGAAATGGTAAACTTGAAGGCGGCTCTGCCAAGAGGAGTCGATAATCACAGAGGAATGAAGAGCCAACAAGTAGACCCACTCTTTCATAATTTCTCTCCGGAGAAGTAGAAGTCTTGAGATCACCCACAAGAGCCCCAACAGCCATTCCTCCCAAGGAGACTGCAAAACAACAGTTTCTGGCAGTTTAAAAACCTAGTAAAACCCTAGTAAGACCACACCTAGAGTACTGCATCCAGTTTTGGTCACCACACTATAAAAAAGATGTTGAGACTCTAAAAAAAGTACAGAAGAGAACAACCAGGATGATTAGGGGACTGGAGACTAAAACATACGAAGAACAGTTGCAGGAACTGGGCATGGCTACTCTAGTGAAGAGAAGGACCAGCGAGACATGATAGCCATCTTCCAATATTTGAGGGGCTGCCACAGAGAGGAGGGGGTCAAGCTGTTTTCCAAAGCACCTGAAGGCCAGACAAGGAATAATGGATGGAAACTGGCCAAGGAGAGATTCAACCTAGAAATGAGGAGGAACTTTCTGACAATGAGAACAATCAACCAATGGAACAGCTTGCCTTCGGAAGTTGTGGGAGCTTTATCACTTGAGACTTTCAAGCAAAGATTGGACTGCCATTTGTCAGAAATGGTATAGGGTCTCCTGCTTGAGCAGGAGGTTGGACTAGATGACCTATAAACTCCCTTCCAACTCTGTTAATCTGTAAAAAAAAGGAGTAGCCATGTTGTTCAAACAGCAGTAGCATAAGTCCTAAACTAGTGAAAGAAAGCCTATTTAAACTACTGAGTCAAAAACATATTTGTTCATTTATTTACTGGGGGAAATGATCCAAAGATATAGATTTGTAAATAGAAAAAGTATGTGAAAATTAAGTTTCATGGTGTGCTCCCCCACTTTGGGAGCAATAAGTGCAATTAAATGTGTCCTATAACTGCTGGTCAGTCTTTCACATCAGCTTGGAGGAATTTTAGCCCTGTCCTTCTTAGAAAACAGCTTCAACACAGGGAGATTGGAGCTTTTTCTGAAGTACTGCACACTAAGATTATTTACTAAAGTAATCTTCTTCAGCAAACTTAGCACCAACCACAAAATCCAACATTTAGATATTCTCAAGAAGTTTAATGGCAACAAATGATTTAGTTTATTTCTTCTGGATAGCTTTGCTGATATTATTATGCAACTGAAGCATTGTGTTTGAATAAGAATTTTGCTTTGTAAATTATTTGAATGGGAAACCTTGTGTTTCAAAAAAAAACCAACAACAATTGGAGCAATAAAGGAATTAATAGTTAAGTAATATCCTGAGAACAAACTCTGCCCAGCCCGGAGGGGGTGGGGGTGGGGGTAAGGCAAGAACAGACTTAACTTAGCAAGAAGAGAAATACTTGGGATCACTTAAAAATATCAGGGAATATTACAACTATCCTGTTTTCCCCAAAATAAGACATCCCCTAATAATAAGCCCAATCGAGCTTTTGAGCGCATGGCAATAAGGCCAAGCGCTTATTCAGGGTTCAAAAAAAATAAGACAGGGCCTTATTTTCAGGGAAACACAGTAGAAAAACTAACTTCTAATTTCTAACTAGAATAACTGGACTGTAACAAATCTAGATGATTGCTAGATGGAAGCAAAGAATTAAGAGTTCAGTATTTCTTTGTTGCCATCTAGAGGTCAATTATTTTGTTTTTTTTAATTAGATATGGTAGTCTTGCAATTATTAAGAACAGAAAATTCCATGCAAGTTAGGAACCTTAGGTGTATTTGAGAATTAGGGGGCAACGCGATGATTTATACAACACATTTTGCATTGTTGATGAATACACTATTGCTTTATAAAAAGTGTAAGAACATGCTGAGATGTGTATTAAAGAACTTCCTCAACTAGCTGTCAATAAAATTAAATCAATTTGGTTGTTTTATGCCCATAATCACCCTATATATTTAAAAGATGTATATCTAGCTTGAACTTTCACATCCAGAGTAATATGCATTTGTACTCACAAACAATTCCCATTAGGTTCCATATGGTTATTACCTTAAGACAGGGGTGTCAAACTCTATTTCATTGAGGGCCGCATCAGGATTGGGTTTGACCTCGGGGGGCCGGGGTGGGTGTGGCCAAGATGGGCATGACCATGTTGACGTCACTTGTGTCGGGGGCATCTGTGACTGCACACGGGCCTCCCGAGCTCCATTTTCGGCTGTGACGGCCTCCTACAACCCTTTGCCACTGAAAACGGACCTTGGGAGAGCCACACATGGCCCTTTCGAGCTCTGTTTTCACTAGCAGAGACACCGTGGGCCAGTCCTTCGCTGTTTCCAGCGCAGCCCTGCGGGCCAGATCTAAGCATCCCACAGGCCAGATCCAGCTCCCGGGCCTTGAGTTTGACACCCCTGCCTTAAGAAAACTGCTTAAGCATGTAGCCTAATATATGAGATGGTTTCAAAACCACCTTGTGCAGTAAAGTATTATCAGATGGTTTACTGCTGACCTCTTCTACAAGATCAAAGGAAATCAAAACATCGTTTGTAACAGAAGACTGCAACAAATTACATGTTACTTCACCCTGTCCCTTTATTCTCTGTACTTCAGAATATCCAACCCCAACAAATACGTATTTATTGTTGCTACATAACTAGAATAAGTAGATGGGTAGAGCAAGGAACAAAAATTGGTAAATCAGTAGGAAATCACAAGAGACCAGAAACAGCTGATATTCTGACTTAGGCTTCCTGATATAGTAAAAAGCACACAATTAGTCCTCAAAACCCTTTTTTTAAATTTTAACAGCTGTGAATTCCTTTCATTCACAGCACGTGCTGAATCACCAAGAGTTTATAAATAGTCCAACAGAAGTCTGCCACAATCCTTCGGATAAGGCTGGTAAATACCCACCTTTATCTTCTTTGACACGCTGCCAAAGACCTAATTGGCAATTATCTTGGCAAGGCCACACGGAAACACAGAATCAAAAACGGAGCTTCAAAATACAAACTGACACCATCCACAACATTGCTTCCTGCAAAGGCCCACATGCCTTTGCTCTTCCTTTATGTCTTATGGAGGAGCCAATCATCTCCAAGCCTTACTCCCGGATCATCCCTTTTGTTTTAACTGTTCTTGCCTTCTGGCAGCTCTGCACATGCGCGCACTAGGAACTGGCTCCTCCGGTTCCTCTGCCTCTCTGATGTCCGACTCTGGAGGCTCCGGAGTCCGCACATAACTTCCAGATGGCCCTGGCCCCATCTCTGCCTCCGACGCAGAGCCTTCGTCCGAGCCTTCCCCAGACTCCAGGACTGGCCCATGTTCCTCCCCAGCCGCCTGCTGGCGGACCATAACAGTTGAAGTATTAAGCAACACTGTTTCAAACTGTTACAAACAATTCCAGGAAATACCTCTTATGGAATGCTGAGAATAAAACATCTAAAGAGACACAGCTGAACTCTTCTCACTGTTAATGTAATTCATAAATATATTCCTAAAAATTTACTCCAAGTCCTAAAGGCAGGATGCATCTAAAGGGAAAGAAAATTGGTAGACAGGCCTTTATTTATCGAATTGTAGGAAAAAAATGACAGGTAGGGAAACACCTCATATCTCCTTGTCCTCTCTGAAAAATAAATTCCATTATCAACAAGGGGTAAACAACAGATGTAATAATATACAAAAAAGCTCTCTGCCTAACTGTCTAAAAAAGCTCTCTGCCTAACAAAAAAGCTCTCTCCCTAATTAAACTTTAATTGGTTCTAGTTTTACAAGGGAATTGACAGGTACGTAAACCAGGAAAAGAAAAAGTGGCTCAGTCTTGTTCCATCTTGTAAAATCATGAGAGACTTTACTCCATGCTAAACTGGCCTATCCCTAACTGAATAATTCAATTGGGAGGCCAACATCTTTTTCCATACAGTAACTGCTTCCAACTATCAAAATGTTCTCTTAGGGAAAGTTTTTGAATGTTCAGTTGGAATTTGTTTTCCTGAAACATAAATCTTGTATTCTGTAGTCTGTCTTTGATGACCTACTTCAATGCTGGAAGAGTGTTGTCATATGCTATTCAGTCTTCTCTTCTCAGAACTAAATACAGGTAGTTCTCGACTTACAACCGCAATTGAACCCAAAATTTCTGTTGCTTAGCGAGACAGTTATTAAGTGAGTTTTTCCTCATTTTATGATATTTCTTGCCACATTTGTTAAATGAATCGCTGCCATTAAGTTAGTAACACGGTTGTTAAGTGAATCTGGCTTCTCCATTGACTCTGCTTGTCAGAAGGTCGCAAAAGGTGATCACATAACCCCAGCATATTGCAACCATCATAAATATGAGTCATTTGCCAAACATATCAATTTTGGTCACTTGACAATCGGAATGCTGCAGTGGGTGAAAAATGGTCATAAGTCACTTTTTTCACTGCCGTTATAACTTTGAATGGTCACTAAACTGTTGTAAGTCAAGGACTCCCTGTATTGCCCATTCTTTCAATCTCTTCTCAGGATTTAATGTCTCCAAATTAGCCTCATTGCCTTCCTGAACCTGATTCACCTTCTTTGAATCCTTAAAAGGGAGTGGATCCAGCCATTGCAAACCAATTTGGTTTGAAAACTATTTCTGTTGCTGCAGTTAAAAGCTACATTTGTCTTTTGAATTTTTGAATAGCCACATCACAAGGCTAACTTGCAATCGTTTTGCACTCAACTACCATTCCAAAATCCTTCATACACTGTGAACAATCCAGGTATTCTGATTCTATTTATAAGTATATTACTCTATTAAGTGAATAATTTTACATCATTTATTGTTCTGTTATTTTATTTTCAGCCCACTTCTCTAATCTAGGAACTTCATTTTGCATCGTGTTTCTGATAGTAATGTTCCACATTTCTGTAAAGAATTTTATCCACTCACTCACTACTCAATTAATATTTTAACGTAATATTTTAAGTACAAAATTGTTCTGACTAAGAAGAAATGCTACAGGCATCAGCCAACAGTCTGAAGCAAGCCTACAGCCTTACCGTTGAACTATTCTGTGCTCTATCACAAAGTCAAGCTATGTATTTATTGCATTGTGCAAAGGCTACATAACTCTGAAACTATGATGCACATCCTTGCTGTTACTATACATGTTTCCAAATATATGTTAAAAACAATTGTTATATGGTCAGTTAGTGGATAATGGAAGACTTTGGAGTAGATTTTCAGAAATATTATAGGCAAAGTAATTCTCACAGCATGAAAATGAAAGACCAATTTTCAGCAATCTGAAGGTTTATTAACAAATTATCTTAATTATAAAGATCTGACACAAAAGTTCTGAAGTGAACTGTTGTTTGCAACAGTGCTACAAAAGGACAAGGCTTTATCAGAGTTTCAATAATTATAAAACTGTCACCAAAGACTGCATGAGATTTATAGATTGCAGTTACAACAACTGATTCCACCATCAATTAAATAATAACATCAATTAAAATATAATGTGATCGTGTCTTAGATAAGGATTACTTTCTCAGCAACGTGTGGCTAGTAACACTATCCTTGTTACATGACTTCCCAATTGATTACTATGATATCCCAGTTTCCAAGAGTATTTAGAGAGAAGGCAATTATTTCACTTCTAACAGCCAAGTTTATTCTCAATTTGAGTCTTATAGAACATAACATGTAACAACAATTTTGTATGAATGCTGTTTTGGAATTAGAAGCATGCAAACGTCTAAGCTGGATGGAGGGATGAAGAGGATGGAATCTGTAATTCAACACAGCTGAAGAACATCACATTGGGAAAAAGAGAACAAATCTACAGATGCACTAAAATTTAGCCTTTGAAAGTACAATAGTTCATTTAGTGACTGTTCAAAGTTACAACGGCACTGAAAAATATGACTTAAGGCTGTTTTTCACAGTTTATTTATTTATTATTTATTAGTTTGATTTATATGTCGCCCTTCTCAGGGCGGCTTACAATGCTTTTAAGCAATAGCCTTCATACTTTTGTATATACCTGCTTAATAGGGCTTTTGCCCCCCACCCCCAAGCGGTGTTCTATTTTATACAAAGTCATCTTATTACTCCCACAATCTGGGTCCTCATTTTACCTATCTCGGAAGGATGGAAGACTGAGTCAACCTTGAGCCTGGTGAGAATTGAACTCGCAGTAATTTCAGGCAGCTGGCAGCTAAATACTACTTTAACAGTAGTTTAGTCCACTGCACCACTAGGCTCCACAGTTACAATCTTTGCATCCCCATGATCATGTGAACAAAATTCAGATGTTTGGCAGCTGGTTCATATTTATGATAGCTCCAGTGCCCCAAGTTCATGTGATTTTGCAGACTTCTGACAAGCAAAATAAATGGGAAAGCCAGACTCACTTAACAACCAGGTTACTAATTTAGCAACTGCAGTGATCTAAACAACTGTGGCAAGAAAGGTCGTAAAATGGGGCAAAATTAACAAATGTTTCACTGAACAACAGAAATTTTGGGTGCAATTGTCACTGTAAGTTCAGGACTACCTGTATTAAGAAATAAAGGGAAGAATTTTTACACAAGGTGCTCTGAATATTTTCCTTATCACTACTACCGATAAAGATGATCTTCCAAACTTGAGGGAATCAGTATCAGTATCAATATCAAAATCAGTTTCACTGTATATGTATTTTTAGTTTTGACAATACTCTATTTTTCAGTATGACTTAACAGTGTTCCCTAACACATCTGCAAAATTGATCGTGCTGAATTTGTTTCCTAAATAGACTTTCATGTCCTCTCATTTATGTTAAGGATACAAATGATGAAAAGTGGACTGTGCCTTTATCAGTCCATCAGGCATCCTTAGGAAGGGGATTTAGCCACTAGTAATTTCTGATTTGCTATTGTGTCCTAGGATCTCAAAGATGCAGCATTTAAAAGTCTCTTCCAAAGAGGCTGGCTTTCAATTATCCTTAAGGGCAGTGGTTCTCAACTTTCCTAATGTCGCGACCCTTTAATACAGTTCCTCATGTTGTGGTGACCTCCAACCATAAAATTATTCCTAAAACTATTGAAAATATGTGTTTTCCAATGGTTTTAGGTAATCCCTGTGAAAGGGTCGTTCGACCCCCAAAGGGGTCGTGACCCACAGGTTGAGAACCACTGCTTTAGGGTCTCTAAAATTGAGTGGGCAAAGGAAAGAAAGGCTCAGGCAGGAGTCTCAGATTATCTTTCTCCCACTGTTGTTTCTATTACGAACTCTGGACATGGACTGAAACCTAAGCATGTATTCAAGGAAGAAATGTGTAACTAGTTTCGCTAAGCAAATTATCGTATCTTAATTTTATTTGGAATTCTATGTGAGATTGTTGCCTCCTCTTATTTTCTCCTATTTCTCTTTGCCCAATAAAGAAAGCTCCTTTTTTATACATAAAGATCTGTCTTCATTGGTTTAATAAAAATATTCCCTATGTGAAAGACTACATAATTACACAGCTACTCTTTCTGTTTCCCAATAGGCAAAAAGGTTAATTTCTGTATTTATTGACTTTGGACAAGAAGATCCAAAGCTTCCTATTTTTCACAGGTTTGGGCTGACAGGACAAGACCTTTGTAGAAAGACAAAAAAACTCTAAACTAGACAGGTGAGAATATGTCAGGGGATTCAGCCTAACCTTACAGTACAGCCTCTCTTAAATAACCTTTCTGAGGTTTCCTGTAAAAATGGGATCTGCCAGTGAGGTTTTCTTATCCCCTTCTTAGCTTATACTATTGGCTCTGCAAGTATGCAAGCCATGGAATATCTCACAGGATGTAATGAGTATAATGAAGAAGCAGACTGCAGTGTGAAATGCTCCTGTTCAGTTTCAGGTGGCTACAATCTCCATTCTCCTCTAGCATAATCTATTCCTCCTGTTCTCTATTGCCTCCCAACCAATGAATCAGTCTTATGAGACCACTGCGCATTTTCAGTCTTGAGTTCCACTTCTGGAGATTCCCCCCTCCCCCCCACCGGTCCATTTCTACAAACAGAAATATTATTTTGTAGTACTAAACATTTTGAGAATCCCTGCCTTTCCCCACCAAAATAGATCTTAGCTGACGCCTCCCTCTTGTGCGTGTTCTGTTCACAAAAACAACTCAATCAGAGAGAAATAAAGGATATGATTGAAGGAACCAGGTTTTAATCTCATGTCAAGCAGGTCTAAAGCGTCTAGGGCAGCGTTTCTCAATCTTGGCATCTTTAAGATATGTGAACTCCCAAAATTCCCCTGACAGGTTGAGAAACATTGTGATCTACTGCATAACATCACTCCATGTGCCCGCAGCTGCTGTTTCACTGCATCATGCAAAAGTGCCCTGTTCCCTGGCTCCATCTTTACAGCTAACAGTCTATCTGATCCCAAGCGGTTGCACCCACACAAATGCCCAATGACTGGGTTCATCCCACAGGCTAAATAAACTCAGAACATATCACCTATTGGCTCCCGGGCATTAAATGAACCTGGGACTCTGTTCTGAGGCACATACTGTTTCTAACTGTTCCACTGCAACCCCTAAACTGGATCTCTGTGATCCACTCCAGGACCCACAGAGAAAGGAAAGCTCTCAGCACTCTTAATCATAAACCTGGGAGACTGATCCAAACTTACTTTGCAGTGGGTCTTGGAAAGCCAAGCCCATTTTTCCCCCCAGGGGCCAACAATCCTAGTCCCCCTACTTGACCTGGAACCTGGCATCCGATATTCCACCTACGATTTTAAGAATCGGTTCCTAAACTCAACCGAAAGCCCCGGGCCGGGAGCTCTCATTCTGATCAAGCCCAGGCTTGGGAGAGAGGCGACTGGGTTTGAGTTTTCCATCGCCAGCCTTCCTCGGCCTGCACTGTCCAGTCCCTCCCAGTACCGAGAAGCAGCCCAACAGGCACTCCCAATTGTCCCGGGTCTCACCAGGCCCGCCAGAACGAGGCGAGGAGGCCGCGGACACGCAGCAGTGTCCATCATCCTCCAGGTCTCCGCTGCCCCTGCCCGAGTAGAGCCGGTGACGCTTGGCAGCCCCTGGCAGCGGAGGCGGCAACAAAGGCTCTTTTTCCAAGCTGCTTCCCTGCTCCATGAATCACAACGTAGCCAGCCTACTAGGGCAGAAACGGCGCCTGCAGCTGCTCATCCCAGAAAAGTGGCCAGGCCGCCGAGCTTCCGCTTGTGATAAGTAGCGAAGGCACAGCTCCGCCCGCTACACGTGATCGGGGTGGAGGAGAGTAGAGGTTGTTGTAGCAGCGGCGCTTCTGCTTGTGCCAACTCAAGTTGCGGGGTGAGGTTGGTGATCAGATATCCTGACATCCTCATCAGATATCCTGGTGAGGAATATTTGCCTAATCAATCAATCAATCAATCAATCAATCAGAGTAGAGCTCGGAAGGGACCTTGGAGGTCTTCTAGTCCACCCCCTTGTTCAAGCAGGAGACCCTATACCATTTCAGACAAGTGACTGGCCAGTCTCTTCTTGAAAACCTCCAGTGATGAAGTGTCCACGATTTCTGAAGGCAAGCTGTCCTACTGGGCAATTGTCCTCGCTGTTAGGAAGTTTCTCCTTAATTCCAGGTTGCTTCTCTCTTTGATTAATTTCCAACTCTTGTTTCTTGTCCTGTTTGGAGAATTATTTCTCCAAATTATTTGGAGAATAATTTGACCCCTCTCTTTTTTGTGGCAGCCCCTCAAATATTGGAATACTGCTATCATGTCACCCCTAATTCTTTTCTCTAGACTAGCCAAACCCAAATCCTGCAGCCCTTCTTTGTATGTTTTAGTCTCCAGGCCTTTGATCATCTTAGTTGCTCTTCTCTGAACTTTTTCCAAAGTCTCAACATCTTTTTTGTAGTGTGCTGACCAAAATTGGTTGCAGTATTCCAGATAATCGTTGGCGATGTGCTTCACGAGTTCGCTGGGAAGGGTCTCTATGTCTCTCTTCCCCTTCCTCAGCCTCAAAAAGTGTTGGAGGCCAAGAAATCCTTCTTGATGCAACAAGAGAACTAAACTTTAAATTAAAGTTTAAAATGAAACTTGTTCCTTTTCAGGAATAAAGATCAGCGTTCTGTTCGCTATCGGGTGATCTGAACACAATACAGATTTAAGCCAGAGTGGAGAACTGGCAGTTAGGGTAGGTAGCAGGGATGATCTGAGTCTTGGTTGTGTCACCTTGCCCTGTAGTCTGTTCTGTATTCTTTTCAGAATACAAAAAAAGGATGTATCTTATTTTAATTATTGATTTAAAGCAGTAGAATTACTGAACATACAATAACATAGAATAACAGAATTGGAAGGGACCTTGGAGGTCTTCTAGTCCAAACCTTGCTCAAACAGGAGACCTTATACCATTTCAGACAAATGGCTGTCCAGTCTCTTCTTAAAGCCTCCAGTGATGGAGCACCCAGAACTACTAAAGGCAAGCCATTCTGCTGGTTGATTGTTCTTACTGTTGGGAAATTTCTTCTTAGTTTTAAGTTGCTTCTCTCCTTGTTTTTCCATTCATTGTTTCTTGCCTTGCCTTCTGGTGCTTTGAAAAATAGGTTGACCCCCTCTTCTTTGTGGCAGCTCCTCAGATATTGAAGCACTGCTATCATGTCTCCTCTAGTCCTTCTTTTCATTAGACTAGACCTACCCAATTCCTGCAATCATTCTTCATATGTTTTAGTCTCCAGTCCAGTGGTGGGTTTCAATTTTTTTACTACCGGTTCTGTAGGCGTGGCTTGGTGGGCGGGGCATGGATTGGTGGGCATAGCTTGGTGGGCATGGCAGGGGAAGGATACTGTAAAATCTCCATTCCCACCCCACTCCAGGGTTAAAATCTCGATTCCCACCCCAATCCAGGGGAAGGTTACTGCAAAATCCCCATTTCTTCCCAATCAGCTGGACTTGGGAGACAGAGAATAGATGAGGGCGGGGCCAGTCATAATTTTTACTACCAGTTCTCCGAACTACTCAAAATTTCCGCTACCGGTTCTCCAGAACTGGTCAAAACCTGCTGAAACCCACCTCTGCTCCAGTCTCCTAATCATCTTTGTCGCCCTTCTCTGCACTTTTCCAGAATCTCAACATCTTTTTTATATTGTGACCTAAACTGGATACAGTATTCCAAGTGTGGCCTTACTAAAGCTTTATAAAGTGGTACTAATACCATTTTAATATCATCATCATCAATGTAGCTTGATTTGGACATAGCACTAAGCCAAAATGTAGTTTAACTTGGGTTTATTGAGTTGTATGAATCTAAACAACATGATTTATGGGGTCATATGTGAAGGCCTAATGGGATTATAAACATGGGTATTCAACAAAACAGTTAATTAATCAACTAATATCCAGCCACAATAAACTATAGAGATAGAGGAACCCTGTGCTTACAAAACCTTATTGCCTTCTGCAAAGGTCAAATAGAGTGATGTGTACACAGAATCATTGACATCCCCAAAATTGGCATGAGGAGGTAAAGTGTTCAAAACAATTTCAACTTAATCAGAATAGTTCTGCTAGATCAGGTCTATTTTACTCAGTCCAACACTTTATTTCTCACAATGGTCAGCCAGATGTCTGAAAGGTGGCCGTAAGCAGAAGATTCCAAGTTTTTATCCGTCTATGGCCTCCAACTCAAGCACCAAATCTCTTGGTTAATTACACAGCAAAGTCCTGTCTTCTGGAGTCCACCCACCCAGCCAGCCCTCTTTCAGAGCCAGATCAGATTAATGGCTGCTTCCACGTCTTGCTGTAATGAGTTTAATTGGGTGCTACATGAAGACGTGCTTGTTTTTGTCCATTCTAAATCTCCTTTCAGTTGTTTTCATTGACCACTTGTTCTAGTTCTTATTTTGTGAGAGGGACAAGAACATCTCCCTATTGACTTTAATCCATACTATGCAACACTTTATAGAACTTCATCACTTCTTCCTTACTTCTCTTTTTTTCCAAATTACAATGTCCCAAGCATTTAGGTCTTTGAAAGGAGTTTTTCATGCTGAGATTGATTGTTTTCTTGGACACATTTCACTACCCAAGCTAGGTAACATCATCAGTGCTAGTACTCTCTATTTATATTCTAGTGGCTTGCCTTGTCCGTTCTCTCTCTTAGAGATTTGTGCCCTCTGAAAATTTTGGTTGCCCAGCCTTTCCAGGATGTTGCATCTCTGGTAAGATCACCAAAAGACATTCAAACTGATATCAGTCTCAAACAATTATGCCACAATTCATGAAGAGATTCAGCTTTATGTTTAGCACTTTGAATCCTAAGTTTTTTCTTCAAACTTTCTTGTTTTCCTAAACTAGGCTCATATTTTATAATAAACAATTGCTGGGTATTTTCTCAAAGATCATCTCTGTACTGCTTTAAAATGTTAAACAGTAAATAATTCCTTAATATTAAATTAACAAGACATGATGTTATCAATGCAGTCAGGGGATGTAATTAATTAATATAATGCTGATAATGTGTGATGATTCATTCAATACATTTAATAATTGAAGCTGATAGCAGGGTAATCCTTTTGACAAATAAGACTTCTTATCTAGCTTTTGTAATTTAAGACCTGCTATTGTATGATGTAAGAAATGGTCTGAATTAGTTTAAAGTTTAGAATATAATGCCACTAGTAGTAAAAAGGTAGTTTAAAAAATTAAAAGATGGAATACAAATAATAATAAAGATAAAGAACTAAAGACTTGATACTATTTATTTATTTATTTATCTATCTAACAAATTTATTTAGTCGCTTACACAGTTACTCCAAACAGTGTATAACATTTAAAAGCTATAATTAAAAATTCACAATTACCACCTACCCACCCCACTTTATGGATTTTTTTGCTGAAAATGAAATAGGTGATTTGTTAACAAGGACTGAATATGGGGAGAAGAGAAGGGTGGAAATGGCATTAAGTATATTTATAATTGCTGCAAAGATTGGAAATTGCTTCTTTCAGTATTTTTGTCTTTCTTGCTTTTTTCTCACTTTCTATTGTTTTCAGCCCTTTTTTCTTTGCATTTCTTTTATATTATTTATGTCTATCTTTTCACTTTGTAAAAATGCATTTTAATAAGAATTATGTTTTTTAAAAAAGTGGTAAAAAAAGTTGAAGTTGGAAGGTCAAGAACATCATTTGGAATTCTTCCTACATGCTCTGCTTATAAATTTGCAAATTAAGAAGCGTTAATCAAATATTATTTAGTGGCACAGCAGATTAAAGTGCTGTTAAGTGCTGTTAAGTAACACCAGTTGCCTGCAATTACTGCAAGTTCGAATCTCATCAGGCTCAAGGTTGACTCAGCCTTCCATCCTTTCGAGGTAGGTAAAATGAGGACCTGGATTGTGGGGGCAATAAGCTGACTTTGTATAAAAAAGAACACTGCTTGGGGGGGGGGGGCAAAAGCCCTACTAAGCAGGTATATACAAAAGTATGAAGGCTATTGCTTAACGCATTGCAAGCCGCCCTGAGTCTCCGGAGAAGGGCGGCATATAAATCAAACCAATAAATTATAAATACAATATTTACCTCTGGAATTATCAATGTACAGAGAACAAATTTAATATTTAATAGATACAACACCAAAATATTTCAAGGAAGCTTTTTTTAATGATGAAAATCATGTTTTTGGCAATTTCAGATGAAGCTGTTCTTGGAAATTGACCTGCCACATCTCCAGGATCTATGAGACAAAGGTTGTTGTCTTCCACTTGTAACCTTTCACTTTTTCCTTCTTTTTCTTTCAGCAAAGAATCTGCTAAGGAAAAAAAAAATAGCTGCATGTGTGCTTTTTTATCAGTAGCGCTTGGAGCTGTCCATTTGGAAGTGCACCTTTTGCAATCAGCTAGAACTTCCAGAGCATATTTAGCATTGGAACTAAAAAGTGGTACATAAAACCCCCATTTAAACTTCATCACCATTAAAGACCAGGATTCTTTTTCAGTAGATCACCATACCAGGAATTAGCCAGTTATTATACTGCACAAGGAACAGGGATTCTAAGTCAATTTAGTGAGCACAATATATCCAGCCATCTTTCCCCCTAGTGCAAACAAGAACACAAATGAGTGTTACTGGAATCAGTTGATGCTTAATTTTGATATCACCCCTACCATGGGATATAGGCAGGAACTTGAAGATGTGCCCTGTGAGGACAGGCTGAAGGAACTTGGAATGTTCAGTCTG